CAAGGTAATTTTGTAATAATTATGCATAATTAGCGGAACTTTGATTTTACGCCGTAACGTTGCGTAATTCTACAAGGTATTTGGCGAAATTTTCCAGTAGTTAATAATTTATAGATTAATAATTATTTTCAAAACTTCAATTTTAAAGTAATTAAATTATCCAATCAGTTTGGACATGGTTGTATCGCACATATCCTTACACATATTTTCCCGCTTTCTTCATTTCTGAGAATAAATATGTATACTTTACTAATTACGGAATAGTTTCCAGTGGAATTATAAACCCCCAGGAAGGATTTCTGAATCCCTCCAGTGGAATTATAAACCCCCTGGAAAGATATCTGAATCCCTCCAGTGGAATAATAAACCCCCTGGAAAGATCTGAATCCCTCCAGTGGAATTATAAACCCCTTAGATAGATATCTGAATCCCTCCAGTGGATTTATAAACCCCTTAGATAGATATCTGATTCCCTCCAGTGGAATTATAAACCCCTTAGATAGATATCTGAATCCCTCCAGTAGAATTTTAAACCCCTAGGAAGTATGTAGTACGTTAAGATCTTAAATAGATCTAATTTGGAAATAACATTATTTAGTGAAAATTTATTCATCATTGTCCGGCCATACCCTTATTTTATCTATAAATTAATGAAATGATGTCTATAGAAGATCAATACCAACAAATAAAGTTGAAAATATTTTTAGGGATGAAATAAGCATTTAAAAGTAAATAAATTTTGCCAGATGACAGGACAGGAAGTGGTCAGAAAGTGATACGTGGAAGCTTGGTTCTGTGACTACGTTGTGGGAGTCGATTGTGGGATGGACGCTATACAGGTGCACCCAAGGTACTAATGCAAGGAAAGTTAATTGCGGTCGCGTATACTCTGCGTACATATTGAAACCAGTTCTCTCTGGGCGGAATTTGTGAGCAAGAATATGCATCAGTGTTCGCGCGCGATCCGAGGAGGATAAAAGAATTTAATTTTGATAATTTTGATAATTCACATAATAATTTCCGTTGACCAGAATAATTCATTGATTATTTATGTGAAAACAGATTCCATGTCAGGCTGTGACATCCGTCTTGTGTTTACATTAACGCCCAAAGACAGTACACTGCAGTAAAAAAATATGTACACCTCTGAAATAACTTTCCTTGCATGAGTACTTTGGGTGCACCTTGCCTCCCCTCCCCCCTCCCATCTTCGTTCTACTCTCTCGGGAATAGGGTGTTTTTAATCTTTTTCTCACTACATACACAATAAACAGTAGTAAAATTAGAATAGCAATCAAACCCGAATTCAATTTAGGATCAGCGTAAAGGCTGTTTTCAGTTTACTTAGTTTAAAGAATCTTTTGCTCAAGTATATTTTACTTTGAAATTATTTTTACTATAATATGACTCCTATATAATATTTTTATTATTGTCTTTTATTAAACAACTTAACAAACTAAGGAAGAAGACAACCTTAACTATTTACCAACTGTCATGTTTCATAGGACACTCTGTAGTTGAACCAAGTAGACTAAGTTGAATTTGAACCAGTGTAAAAGTGGTCCAACCATGTCTAAATAGTTTTACTATTTCTTGCTTTTTATTAACTTTGGTTCCTGAGGTAAAAACTAATAAACAAATCAATTTTGTTTTGAATTTGCTAGTTTATCACATTCACATTAAAAATGAGTAACATTTCAAAAGAAGAAGATATGCACTTGTGTTATTTTTTAAGTTTGAATATGTAATTGTTTGTCATAAAAAATCAGAAACTGCATTGTGGTAATTTTCCGAAAACAGCCCCTGTTTCAGATAAATTTTAACAATCAAATAATTTCAGGGGGGGGGGCTAACATTGTAAAATTGATCCCAAATATACTATAATTCCCCTTACAAATTACTCATAATTTATAAATTACGCTATTAAGCTAATATCATTATCTTTATTAATAGTTTAAATATAATTAAACATAATATATTCCAATATATATAATCATTATATTACATCTATAATAAATTTTAAATAATAGTGTTTCTTTCAATATAAAAAAATATATTAGTACTTAATCAATTGAACACACATAAAACCCCTGAAGAAATTGTAAAAAAAAATATCTTTTTTATTGCAGTTTTAGTTTGTGTAACATTGCTACCTTTGCCATGATTCATTAATGAAGATTTTGAAACTTAACAAAATATATATTGATAAAGAACAAAAAATTGAATAAAGGAACGGAAAGTTTTAAAAAATTAATTAATACTGAAATAATGAAAAATTTAGTTAATTTTTTTTGCTTTAGATTGCATGCATTGTAAAAATGATAATTTTTTTGATGTCTTTCGAAAAACTAATGAAAACTCGATTATTAAACAGAAAAATGATGTCTTACTTTAAAATTCAGTTATTGGTTAAAAATGAATGCGGGGCCCGGAGTTAATAAATTTGAATTGCCTGTACTGTCGCGCCGGTTCAAATTTGAATCACCGATTCAAATTGCATTAAGGGAGGAGAAGAGAAGACGGCCCTGGAAAATAAAGAAAGCCTCTCCCCCCCCCCCATTGCACCCCAATGTTTGTGCCCCTGCTATAAATTATAGCTAAACCATCCTGTCATGTTTAGAGAATCTGAGAGATTACAATGACTAAAAATAGCAGACATAGCAGTTGGTAATGGTTTGGATTCAGAACATGCATTGTTTAATCTAAAAAGTTATGTTAAGGTGATAAATTATTTTATTCTTTAAATATTTATTCTATAACACTCTAAACGTTCATACAAATCTGATGATAAAAAAAAATATCACAAAAAATCTGCGAAAAACTATCAGTACAAATCTGCCCCAAATCCTACCAAATCTTTCTATTCCAACAATATTGTTATCAAAATTATTTCTAATTTGATTAAGAAAGAATATATAAACAGTAAATAAATTTTCTTAAGATTTGATGAAGATTTCTAATCAAATCCTCTTGGGGGTTTTATGGCATAGATACAAGTTACAACAGTAGATTTTATAAAATTTTATAACAGAATAGCATCCAAATTACATAGATATATATATTTAAAGAAATATATAGGTTGTAAAGTAATATACAGAAGAAAAAAAATTTTTCCACGTTTTTGTAATTTTATATTTACATTTTTATACTTTTTAGCCTAACATGAACCTTGCAAAACAAATTCAGACTGTTGTCTAAAATTACGTTTATCCAGCTGTTTTTAAACACTCTGTATGTATTGTAGATAGATTGTATGGATAGATAATTTTCAGGCTTAATGATGTACCCGGATTTGATGTGAGGGCTGTATAAGCAGATATAACTTGTAAGAATCCTGTTCTGTTTAGATCTTCATTAAACAGGGCGCCCATAGTTAGAGATGGACATCTTTTTCTTTGGGTTTTTTATTTTTAATTTTTTTTTCGGTCAAAATTTTGGTTTCATTTGGGAACATTTTTAAACTCGCGCAAAGTGAGTAAGGCCAAAATAAAGAAAAGAACTAAATCTCAATTGTTTAATATCTTTAGAATATACATTTTTAGTAAAATTATACGACTATACTCATTCTTGTAATTAATGGCTTATATTCCTAATCACATCATGTTTAAAGGTATTATTGTTGTTATTTCGAGTGCACCAATGACCATTCATTAAGTTAAAGAGAGTCCTACGAATATACTCTTTACACCTGATCTAATTAATAATACATGTTTAACTATAACAATGAATATATATTTCTGAAAATGTTTAGATTGTTTAAAAAGCTGACTAGATTACTTTGAAACAGCGTATATATGTAGATGAATTTAAAAATAGAGAATAAATATGTAAATTGTAGAATTCTTTGATTTGACTTATATAAAAAATGTAATATATGTAATAAATAATATTGATTTAACTTGAAAGATAAGCAATTTTTTCTTGATTATTTGGTTGCCATCCAAATTTGACTGCAAAATTTTATTTCGAAAGGAATGGAGTCTTTGCCACAAGCTCAAATTTTCTAATTCCTATGTCGTTGCGACCTGATGGTGTAAACCTGTGATTATTTGATCTAACAGAATTCATAGTTTGAAATATGGAAGGTGTACGACATTGAGTTGCAAAGATATACAGGAAGTAGAAAACCAGAGTTTGTGGCAAAGACTGAATTCCTTTAGAGTTTATTACAGATCTAATTTTAGATTTCTTTAATTTATAGCTGGTGCCTTACAATGATTATCAAATATTTAATAATGAAACCCAATTTTTTAATTTTATTCGTTTTTCTCAATAGTTTTATTTGAAACATTTATTTAAAGAAAATCTAATAAAATATTGTTTTTAATAAATATTGTTGGAATGTTCAAAGATTATGTAGATTCCAACGATAATGTCACTGCAAGTTCTGGTTGTAGATTAAATATAGATTTTCAAAATGTTTGCATCATGCATGTTTAATCTTCATCAGGCACATGTATAGTATATTCATCATTCACATGTTTAATATGCATCATGCACATGTTTTATATATTCATATTATGCACATGTTTAATATTCATCATGCAATTATTTAATGTTCATCATGCACATGTTTAATATTCATCATGCACATGTCTAATATATATTATGCACATGTTTAATATATATCATTAACATGTTTATTGCTTATCAAGCAAATGTTTGACATAAATATTAAAAATGTTTTAAACTAACCATGCACATAAAAATGTTTTAAACTAATCATGCACATGTTTAACATTTATCATATATCTATATATATTTTACTTGTTTAGGTGTCTTGATGTTTGCTTGTTTGTCTGTATCCAATAAACGTCAGAACGTCTCAACCGATCGGACCCAAATTTTTTGTGGGACCTCACGTGACCCCCCCCCCCCATCCCAACCTCTCTCCCTCCCTCTTGACTATCGAAGATCTACGTAACGTGAACGTAACTGGGCGTACTGATGGTTTGAAAACCTCCTTGTACAACAAAAGATATCTGAGTAGAAAGGGCGTGGTACCAGCTGGAGCTTGCGCGCACATTCTCTACTATAAATACATGCTCAGACTCAAAGAAGCGCATTCTCGCCTATCCAGTGGAGAAACATGTTTAAATCTGTTCTATTGGTAAATATTTCATTTATTTCAACATAAAATAGACGTCAAATCATTCATTTTCTTTCTGTTATCATCGATTAATAATAAGTGATTGCTTTGTAGCTTCTGCTCTAGTCCTTTAATAACTATCTAATGTCCAAGTGTAACTATGTGAATCAAAGAAAATTTGTCCAAATTTATAAGCAGGAGTTACGCCACATTTTAGAGATACATCTTGTCATATAGATATCTAGGATCAAATAATTTTTATACAATAATTTAGATTTCTATATGATTATTTTCAGACTTGCTTTGTGGCTGCTGCCAGTGCTAAGGCTCAGTTGGGATATGCTTATGGAGCCTACCCCTATGCTGCTGCCTATGGAGCTTATCCTTATGCTGCTGCCGTTCCCTTCGGATCCAGCACCGGTTTAGACCCAATCACCCAGGGACTTGACCCCGTCACCCAAGGAGTAGCTGTCCCCGCCGTCCACTATCTTGGCAAGAGGTCTGCTGATGCTGATGCTGATGCCCAGTACGCTCTTGCCTATGGAGCATACCCCTATGCTGCTGCTTATGGAGCTTATCCTTATGCTGCCGCCTATGGAGCTTATCCTTATGCTGCCGCTGTTCCCTTCGGATCCAGCACTGGCCTTGATCCCATCACCCAGGGACTTGACCCCGTCACCCAAGGAGTAGCTGTCCCCGCCGTCCACTATCTTGGCAAGAGGTCTGCTGATGCTGATGCCGATGCCTACTACGGTCTTACCTATGGAGCATACCCCTATGCCTCATATGCCCATGGAGCTTACCCCTATGCTGCTGCTTATGGAGCTTATCCTTATGCTGCTGCTTATGGAGCTTATCCTTATGCTGCTGCCGTTCCCTTCGGATCCAGCACTGGTCTTGATCCTATCACCCAGGGACTTGACCCCGTCACCCAAGGAGTTGCTGTCCCTGCCTACGGTTATGCCTATGGCAAGTAAGTCATGAGAACAGTATTTATAAAATTTTGTTTATTGTTATCCACACACTGATAGGTTAATTCAGTGCCATTATGTAAAGTCAGTCAGACAATGTAATGTGTAGGAATTATGAGAGAATAAATCTATGAATTCAGTTACTTTGTTTTTTTTGTTGAGAGTTATAAGATAGAGTACATTCTAAAATTAAACACAGAAATTACTTAACAAATACATCTGGGATTAAATAAATTTGTTTTTGTTCAGTTGATTTTACATTAGCAATTGAAGATTGATTTAGGATTTAATAACTTTGGGCAGTCTAGCCAACAGGTTAATCTTGAGTTGTCTCAGCAGGTTTCTGGCATAATATTTAATCACAGAGGGCTCAAGAGGTCAGTCTTTGTTGTATTCGACACTCCAAAACCTTTACTCGTTTACCTTTTTTGTTTAGCTACAGGGTGTCCCACGAAACATGCCAGTTGGTGAATAGTTTAGAATGTCTTCTTCCACAATTTGTTAAGTTGATTGATACCAAAGACAATAATAAAATATTATATAGAAGTCATATTATAGTCAAATTGATTTCAAAGTATCATATATTTAGGCAAAAGATTTTTTAACGAAATAAACTGCAAAAAGCCTTTAATATTATAATTCAGCATATGTAAGACGACATTCAAAATTATTTAACAACTGCCATGTTTCGTGGGACACCCTGTATGTTTTATCGCAAATGTCGACTTTATTTTTTATAATTCGACCCAGCCATTAACTTTTCCTGGATTCTGGTAAGTTGCCACAAAAATTTGGGCCCGATCAGTTCAGCTGTTTTGACGTTTTTTGGATACTTTCAAACAGACAAGCAAAGTATATACTATACATTTTGATTCGGATTGTCTGGGTGACTGATGGTTTGTATGTTTGTTTCCAATAAACATCAAAATTGATCAGGCCAAATATTTTGTGGTAATTGAAATAACCCATGGAAAGGCTAACGGTCAGTCAGATGTAAAAAAAAGCCTCAAAATAATTTTAATTGTTTAGAATTTAAAAAAGGAAAATATCTGATTTTCCCTTTTTTCCTAAAATGTACGTTGATATACAAAAGCCTTAAAAGAAAGGTCAGAAACAAAAAGCCAGAAAAAGTATTATTAACAATCAATTTGGAAGCAAATCTAGTCCTAGAAGAGATATAATCAGTTTTAAAACATTTTTTGGTAAAGGTCTAAAGAACAATTGTGAAGGGTAAAAAAAACTTAAACCAAGGGTTTATAAAAAGAAATTTTTAAATTATGTAATATTATATTTTGAGAGGATGAAAACCCAATTAATGAGGATTTAAAAATCTATTTAAAAACAAACAAGAAAAAGTTTACAATATATTTTGCAATAATAACCACAAGATGAGAAAAAATGTAATCTGAAGGTTTTATTTTAACCCCCCCCCCCTCCAACTTTATGAATTTTTATTCTTTTAAAAAGATGCTTTAATGCATGTAATAGTATCCAATAAGTGTTTATCTATTCATGAGAAAACATGAAAATATCAATTCTTATTTTTTTCATTTTTCTACACACAAGCCTTGGATGTAATAAACGAGATATAGTTATCAGGTATAAATACACATTATTAATACTTAAAATTTGGTCCATGAGGTCGGAATTAATGGACAAAAGTAGTTGAATTATTCACGAATTGTTTAAATGTTTAGAAGAAACCGACTAGGATACATAGTGCTGTGGATTATAAAATGTTTAAATGTTTAGAGGAAACCGACTAGGAAACAAGTGTTGTGGTATATAAAATGTTTTAATGTTTAGAGGAAACCGACTAGGATACAAGTGCTGTGGATTATAAATAGTTTGAATGTTTAGAGGAAACCGACTAGGATACAAGTGCTGTGGATTATAAATGTTTAAATGTTTAAAGGAAACCGACTAGGATACGAGTCCTGTGGATTATACATATTTTTAAATGTTTAGAGGAAACCGACTAGGATACAAGTGCTATGGATTATAAATAGTTTGAATGTTTAGAGGAAACCGACTAGGATACAAGTGCTGTGGACTAGCAGATCAGCAATCTGATGTGGGCGATGAAGTTTCACTGTAAGTTTTAATCTACAGTGATCCCCATAAAACAGTGGGATAATAAGATGTCTATTAAACTCAAGTTATAACTTTGGATAGTCCAATGAACATGAAAAACTACAGTTGTGCTTACTCGACTTACTCAACTAAGAATCTGAAAACCAAGCTAAGAACATTCCCGTTGCTCCCTGATACACAGACACCCTGAAATATAATTTTATTTTATCAATTTTCATCTACTCTAATTAACCTTATAAAGGCTGGGGACCCCCCCCCCCCCAGCCTGTTTAGGACTAAAAAGCATAATCATTCTTTTTTTGGCACTTCAAATGTATTCAAATATATCTTTGATCTAAGCAATTTTTTTATTTAATTTTGCTAAGAATAATCAGAGATTTTTATTTGCGCTATTTTACAGCCCTCCACTGCCACCAGCTTTAGCTACATCTACAGCATCATCGACATCTACTGCGATAACAACATCAACGTCACCTCCTCCAACTCCTATAATACCCGTGGGAGATTGTGTATGTGGTTCTGGGATACAGGTTCTAATTGTCATTTTCTACTAAAGCTGACCAGCCCATTCTTTCCGTTGTTTTAAATATTTAAGTTTTTTTTAGTTTTGAATGGGACTTATAAATTTCTAAGATATCTGCAAATTGGTTTGCAATCAACGAGTACGTTAACAGTTGGATTCTTATCTTTCGTTGATATCTCCCATCTTCTGCACCAAATATTGCAAAATTGGATAAAAGCAAACTCTAGATATTTGTGATTCCACAGAAAACCAAAAACTTAAATATTTAAGAAAACGAAAAGAACTGGTTGCCCACTGCCAAGGAATATTTTTAACTCTTTTTTTGTCAAGTTAATTATGAAAAACAAAATTACCGTTTTAAAAGCACGTTTATATTTAAACCCATTTAGAAAAAAGCATTGAGTTCAAATGGTACTCTGAATAGACCATGGGCTGTCCATGTGAGCATCGAGTAAGTATTTTGTTTATATTCAAAGCTACATTATAAATAAGAATTACAATTTATTTATGCTATGTTAATATTATTTAAATAAAAGATAATTTTCATTTTTTAAAAATAAACAATATTATTGATTTGACTATCTGCTATTAACAAAAGTGTATGCGGATACCGATAACAAATAGTCATTACAAATGTGTTGCACTGATTTTATGTTTTGCATAATTTCTTAGATCTGATCTTGGAAGCACTATTGAATGCAGTGGATCACTTCTCAACAGAAAGTGGGTTATATCTGCAGCGCATTGTTTCTGCAAACATATACCGGTAGGTTTGGAGCGTGCGCATGATTTGTTGATTGCCGCAGTGAATTTCATTCTTATTCTCAGGTCGTTCACATTTGAACAAAAGCGTCTATAGTAAAAATTAGACATTCAGAGAATACAAATTGAAACAAAAAACGAAAGAATTAGTTTTAAGTTTAAGACATCAATGAAAACTGAAATAGTTTTAGACTTTTTTATAATCAACATAAGCTTAGCTTAGATTATTAGAGGGTTCACCATATATAATAAGACTTCAGAGAAGACTGTTCGGTTTTTTTATAATTTTTGTTTATTTTTGAAAGTCAGGCTTTTCAATTTTTTTACTTTTTTCCAATTTTTACTTTTAACAATTGGATGATATAGCATGCATTAATAACAACTGAAAAAGAACATGGTTTCCTGGATAATGTTTTTTATGCACCTAATGGAAATAGTGACTTTCAATATAAAATGTGTCATGTCCGATTCACAAGGGTTCTCTGAGCAGCTATGTCCGATTTAGAATGAATGAGACATTTATGTGCGAGTTTAATGAATTTAAACCGTGCTCAAATCCGCCAAAAACCGGTTTCAATTGAGCACCGGCTTAAATCTTGAAACATTGAATACAATTTTAAGTGGAACCAACCATATTTGAGCCGCGTCTCAAATTTGAGTCGCAGCTCAAATTCTTTAAATTCGGCCTCAGATCCTTTTAACCCTGTTTACTGAAGGGAGTGAGCTGTGGTATTCTGGAGAGAGGTATGAGAAAGATAGCCCCCAGTGACGTCATTAAAAGCAGCATAACTCTCAGATTTGGAACAACTGCAGAAGCTAAAGCTTTGCCTCCAGTAAGTTTTTACACAATGTAATTTATCGATCTCAAAATGTGTAATTTGATGTATTTTTTCTAAAAATTATTTTTTTCTACATTTTTTCTTAAAAGATAGATTCAAAATTGTACAACATTGTTTTAATAGAATTCAAGAATTTTTACTTGTAAAAGTAATAGAAGATGTGCATTATAGGATAGAAAACTCTTTTAAAGGGACTGTATAGGAAAAATGAAAGGGGGTATAGGCTGAAACCTGAGAATCTCAGGAGTTGATCGAGACCTGTAAGAGTGCTATCTGGTCTCGAGAAATTGATAGAAAACCTTGTCAAAATTATACCAAAACGTATATATGTAAGATTTTGTATAAGATTCGTAGAATTAAGCATATCATATTAAACAAATATACAACGAATCTGATAACGACAATATCATAAAGAAGCCTGAGAACTCAGGTTTGCTCCTTTCATTATTTGAATTTGATAATTTTTCATTTTTAATACATATAATTGATAATATTTTTATGCGTTAGGATCAAGTCACCAGAACTTCAACCAATGGCAGTGCAGTTTATTGTCATGTGTCTCCGTCTGTAACATGTGACCCGTATACTGCACTGCCATTGAAGGGAGTTCTGGTTACATGATACAGACGTACATCTTACATATATAGGTTTTGGTATAATTTTTACACAGTTTTACGTCAATTTCTTGAGACAGGAACATCAGATAGATGTATTATATAGGCATCATTCAATGCCTGAGATTCTCAGGTTTCAGCCTATACCTCCTTTAATTTCTCCTTTACAGTCCCTGTAACAAATGTGGAAATTAAGGTTTCTGACATTGACAAATTGGTTGTTCATCCTGACTACTTTGAATCTAGAGATCTCAAACATGGAAATCCTTATGATATCGCTCTCATAAAAACTAAACAGGTACACAGCTACAGGTGTCACAACAAATGTATGTAAATCTTTATGATATTGTTAATAATGTTAGTGTCACAAAAATAATACTAAAATTAAATGAATTAAACAATCGTGGGAACCAGTTTAATATTTCTCCCTATAGACTAAACAGACATTAAGTGCCACAAAAAAGTTTGAACTAACCTGTATCTATTTATGTAGGATATTTATACGGAAGCTGGAACAAGAAAAAATGGTATAATAATTGTGCAACCAATATGCTTGCCTCCCCCTGGACCTATCACTTTAGAAGAATCTTCTGAAGATGAAACCAAGTTAGTTTTTATCAATGGGATAAATTATTAGGTGAGGGGATCAGGGTTTACGTACATTTTACTTCCTTCCAGGAAAATTCTAAAAAAATACATTTAAGTTTTTGTTTTGATGACACTAATTTTAACAAAATGCGTACATAAACTCATGGCCTCTCACCTTTAGTATCTGACAATGTTAACATAATTAAAAATTTATCTCTGATTTCCTCTTTGCAACCCAATGTCGTAGATCTTAGATATTTCAATTTATGAATTAAATAATCTTCGTTTAAATGTAAACATTTACAGCATCAGATTACATGAACATAAGGATTAAAAAAATTGATTTTGTGACAAAAACTCAAATCTCTTTTTAGTCAGTTGGATGGATTAAAGAAACCATCAATCCCATTTAATGATATGGATTGTAAAATTACATTTGGAGATGGCATAGATGATCCACCACACACTAGATTAGAGGTAATGTTTATATACAAAAATCTTACTTTTTTAATAATGAAGATAACAAACCCACCAATCTTCTCTGCATTAGGCTTGTATTTTCAAATGCATGACCTAAGAAATACAAAGTGGGCAAATCATATTAAAAAATCTGAATTTTATATTCATAATTTTCAAGACACAGGTTTCTTTGCGACAGATTTGAAGCATTCAGTAGTCCGCCACACCGTTCCTACCCTGCAGTCCTCTGGTTTTTGCCAAGGCCCACCAACTTAATGCAGAGAAGCTTGAATCAGCAAGAAATGAGTTTGCCAGCGAAGCAAACTTCAAACCAATTTCAAGTCTCGTATTTTACTAATCTTGGTTTCTGGAAGAACATTCTCACATATCCCAAACTTTGGTGTTCCAGCAGTTATCACCTCAATTGAGGAGCACAGTTCACTAGCTCCATCTAGACTTCTCTCCAAAGGTTCCTAGGAATCATACATTTTTACAACCACATCCTTCCATCCTCAATCCAACGGTCTGGTAGAAAGGTTTCACTGTCGTCTTAAGGTGTCTCTGAGAGCTTGGTTATCTGGAACTGACTGGTCCCCTTATCTACCTCTGGGTTTACTTGGCCTCAAAAGTGTTCTCAGAGAAGATTCTGCACCTCGGAAGCTCTTTTTGGTTCTCTGTTGGTTTTACCCGGATAGTTTCTAGACAGTATGAAGCTACCCTCATCAGAGTAACCTAAAACCAGACCAGATTTCATCCAGTTTAACCTCCTGTTCACATGTTTTCATCATGGAGGATTTAACTAAACCTCAGTTCTCTCTGCTGTACAGAGGACCCTACCTAGTTCTTTCCCAGACTCCAAAGTATTTCTCCATTAAGATAGGCTCCAATTCTGACTGTTTTCGTTAATCGCCTTAAACGAGTCTTCTCTGATCAGCCTGTTATGTCACAACAACCTACCAGACATGGCAGACCTCCGATCGACTCAGGCTCCTTTGACTCTGGCTTTGTTGACTCTGACTCTGTTGACTCTAGCTCCATGGACTCCAGCGCCATTGACTCTGGCTCCATCCTCTCCGATATCTCTCCAGAGAGCCAAGATGACAAGGAAAGGAGGTTGAATACTTGATTGACGTCTCTTCCGAAGATATCAATACTTCCGAACTCTTCAATTAGCTTGGTCTTGAAAGTGGCCCAGTCAGTGATGTTGTTGAAGGGTCCTCGTTTGGCAAGAGGGATGGCTTGGAGAGTGAAAGCCACTTTAACAACATCTTCAGCTTGGGTCAAGTTGAACACGTTCAGGATGGTCGACAACCAGGGGTAGAAGTCCCCAGATTTGCCACTCCAGGTCAGTGTATCAAGCTTAGGAGGTTTGAAACTAGCCCGAGGTTGGAGGTTGAGCTGGGAAGGGGGGGGGGTCAGCTGCAACGGTGGAGTGGGCATTGATGATGTCCTCTGCAGTTTGATAGGTGGCGAGGTCGGAGTGGTCGTAGGCGAAGAATTCCAGATTGGTTTCCAGTTGGTGAATGAATTGTTTGGACAAGGCCTTAAGGGTATATATTCGGTTCTCCTTGATTGCATTTTTAAAGGCAATAGAAAGGAGCAGGATGGGATGATTGGGTGGTGGGGGGAAGGTCAGAGGAGGTCGGAGGGGTTGGAGTGGTGTCATCGGTTCCCAGTTCCTCATCCAGGTTGTGGACGTGGTTGGTGGGTGTGGGGCAGATTGTGCATCCTAACAATTTGCAGGGAGAGTTTCTTGTACATCTTTGAACTTCCTGATGAGGGCTTTCAGGAGGAAGGTTGTACAGAGTATATTTATTCTCCCCGGACAATTCTTTCCCGGTTGGCCGCAAATACACACAACAGAGTAACCCCCGTCTCAAGAAAATCGACAACAAAAGCTTTATTTCCTAAAAATAACATAATTTATAGGTCATGGTTACTTGTACAATCTATTTATAAATTTGGCTTGTCTGTCTGTTTGTTTGTCTGTTTGTTTGTTTGTTTGTATCCAATAACCGATCGGGCCCAAATTTTTTGTGGGACATCTAGGGACCCCAGGGAATGTTTATGAAAAATCAAAATTTCAAATATTTGTCTCTATCAAAATTTTTTAAAATTTTGGAAATCCGCGAAATTTTTTGTAAAAATCCGCGAATTATTTTTGTTTAGTTTTACGATGTACACAAAGAGAACATGTTCACAACTAAGTTAGAAGATGGGCGCGAAGCGCCTTGAATTTCTAGTGTTATAATAAATGTTAATAATACAAAAAATCTTACGATTTATTTGCGGATGATAAAGGGGTAACTTATTGTTGATCAGTATTAAAAGACGTTTTTAAAACTTCTGAAATAAATGACAGTTGAATATTTAACGAAATTCACTAATTCTTCATATGGAAATATTCTTGTTTAAATTTTATGGGTTCACAATAAACGAAAGTGTTTTAGGCTCCGTCCCCAGAGAACAAAGAAAAAGGGGGCTGAAATTGTTTGGTTTGGTGTCTCCGAGAGGGTATTTCAGTTAAAGACGACATTACACAGAGGTCTTAAAGTTAATGGTTAACAATATGATAATCATTATATGTATCAAGAATTAAAAAATATGAACAGATCACATTAAAGACCATGGAAACCCCAATCTAATCTAAGAAACTAGAGTTGAACAAGTATAGCAAAATAGCCGATTGCATTCAAAGTTCGATAATCTATCCAGAAAATGTTGCTTAAGTTTATATTTAAATTCATTTTTGCTAGCAATACAAGATTTAAACCATGTTGTACTTTTAGATTCAATAAATGTTAGTTAGTTTATTTCTGTCGGTTAATCGTCGCTACATTGTATTATTTTGATTGAAAAAAAAAACATTTTAAAAACTAGATTGGTTGGCTGAAGTGCCATGCTGCAGCCTTCATTGCTCCACTTGAAGTAGAAGTTGAAGGAAGAACTAGTTTTCTAACAGCTTTCGGTAGCACAAAACAGGTAGACAAATATCATTTACAAAATAAAAAATAAATTTTAGGGACTTTAGATGTTTTTTTTCAGAAACTTTAGCATACTTTTTCATTATTACTTACTTCATCGTGAATTTCGTAATTAACGTGCTATAAAGTAATCATCGTGCTATAATTTTAAATTAGCTATGCATGTGCTATAGATTTTTCATTGGTTCCTGGATTTTCTCCAAAAATTTAGGATAATTCCAAAAACAATTTCAATAGAAATAAAAATAAAATTGAAATAAACTTTATATTTTGACTTCTGCTTTGTTTCAAAGCTTATTTGATTTAGAAACAGCCATGGAAATAAGACACAAATGTTTCATAAAATTACCAATAGCACTATTATTTTGGCACGACGCGACGTGCTATAAAGTTATTGGACTTTTCTCTAAATCTCAAAGGTTCTCGCCTTTTTAGATTATATTTTATCCCTCGCTAAAGCTCGGGACAAAATTAAATCTAAAGAGATAAATTCTGTCTAAAAACTTTATAACACTGCAAACCAAAATAACAGTGTTATAAATAGTTATTACAAGTGACCCTCCATTGATAGAATGGCATGTCTGACTCATAGTGATACCCTTTTAAACCATTCTCTGATCAGAGATTAATGAGATGTCCTCATTTGTTTACGAAAAATTGCTAAATATTAACTGAGGTTACTTGCTGCAGAGATAAAGAGGGAAATTGTGATAAAACACCTTTCAAGATGGAGGTTTAAAGGATACCGTAGTGAATTGGATTTTCTAAAACTTAAAAATTTAATTTATTTGCAGAAAAATACAAAAGTTTGCAGAGCAAATTCGTTCAGTCCCGACCAGAGTGTTTTTAGGTAATTTAACATAAATTAGTGATATAATTAGTTTGTATTCCACAGAGGACTAACTTTTAAAGAATAGATACGCGCAGTAACTTTTCCAATTACAAAGTAACCGTGAGCAGCAATCTAACTTTTTGCTCAATATCTCTAAAACTAAATTGAATTTATCATTTTTTGGTAATATTTGAAATTTTTGAATAAAAACTGATGAAATGTGTCAAATTTTTTGAAAAATTTCTGAAATTGACCAAAATATGTTGAAAAAAACTTTATAAATCATACTTTTCAGATTAATTTCGAAGAAATGTCATCAATTGTATTTTTTCTGACTTTCTACAGTATTTTTATTTTTTTTTTTTATGCCTAAAATATTTCAGAAAGTGTACTAGTGAATGTAAACAAAGTGAAAACCCCTCAATGTTTCATCCACTGTGTCAAGATCTACTAAAATCAGCGTAAGTTCCAAAAATAATAGAATCTATTTATGATTTATGATGAGGTGTCCGGTGTTCCCAGGTTACTTATAGCTATTTCCGCGATTTTCCCGCGTTTGGTCTTCAATCATGATTTTTGCAGAAGTGCCCAGCTCAAATTTTTAGCCAAAGTAACCCGCGGGTTACCTAAAAAAGTCAGCCAATTTGGTCCAGCCGTTTGGTCAGCTATAGCTAATATATCTATATTAATATATATATGCGCGAAGAGCTTTATTATATAGATACTAGATAATAATGCAATTGCTATATTAATATGAAACTCATTTGATCTTAAATATGTAATACGACATTAAAAAAAATCTTGCTATGTATTCATATATCTGGGATTCACTGTATTAAGTGCGAAAAAGTTGTTGCCGGGATTTTTACTTTTTCTAGTTTGTTTGAGATCAAAATGAAAGTATTTCTTTTATTCAAATATCCCTGAAACAATGAAATAAACAATGTTATTCAATTAAATAAGGTGTAGGGCGATAAAGTTGCTTTATCGCCCTACTACGGGAATATAAGATGCGAAATTTGAATTTCAATATCAGGTCTCTAAAGTTACTTTTTTACCCTACAAAGGGAAATATTAGGTGTGATTAATTTCCTCAAAATTTAATTTTACAATTTTAAATTTTTCAGAATTCTAGATGAGTTAAAAAATACAACCGTGGCCAGGTAAAAAATTATAAAAGGGACTGCTGAGTTTTGACGTAATATTTAGTTACTCTTATGTTACAGAGTAATATGTAAGATTCATATCTGAGTAAATTATAAAGGGGACTGCTGAGTGATGACGTAATATTAAATAACTCTTCTGTTACAGAGTAATATATACAATTCATATCTGAGTAAATTATATAAGGGACTGCTGAGTTTTGACGTAAAATCAAGTTACTCTTATGTTACAGAGCAATATGTACAATTAATATCTGAGTAAATTGTAAAAGGGACTGCTGAGTGTTGACGTAATATTAAGTTACTCTTATGTTACAGAGTAATATGTAAGATTCATATCTGAGAAGGATATTGTAGTTTTTCAATCGTGAAAAGTTTTCAACCCCCAAAATTTTCTTCATTGTTCCTGCAGCACAATTTTGCAAAACAATTTTACAGAGATATCAATATTTAAAATAATCAATTTTAAGCTAAGAAAATAAAAAGGTAGCATTGTGCATTGGATTAAAATATAAAGCGTTATTTGAATTTACGCCTTTTTACAAAGGTCTGCACATTTACTCTAAGAATATGTATTATGTTCCTTTCGACTTTTTGAATTAATAGTAAAGACGACAAAAAATTATTGAGTCTTCATGCCAGAAACTGGTTTTTCCAATTTAAAATTCAGTGATGGTGATGGACCAAACCTCTGTAGAGTAAAAAAGTAGATGTTAGTTCCACATTTATTGAAAATTGCAACCCAATGTCTAAGGACCCTAGATATTCCCAACCATGAATGAAGTTACATATATTAATCCAAGTTTAAAAATATCATACAGATACACCCTACCATTAGACCCGGACATTAAAGAGAGTTTTATTATGATTTATTAGATTTATTTTTCCTTTACTGTCCCTTTAAGTGAATATTATTGAACGAAACATCCGAGTTTCCTTTTTGATGTGAATACATTTCCGTAGATTTTAATTTAATGAGTTCAACTACAAAGAAACTACAAAGAAATGTAAAGAAATCACATGAAATAATACAAATAGAAATATCTACAAAACTGTCTTATTTTTAAGATCTTAATCTAAACCTAGAGATATTTTTAAGATCTTTATCTAAACCTAGAGATATTTTTAAGATCTTTATCTGAACCTAAAGATATTTTTAAGGTCTGTATCTAAACCTAGAGCTATTTTAAAGATTTTTATATACCCCATTTTTAAATTCGATACTGAATTTCATTGCTGACTCAGGGGTTGCAAATATATATGGATTAGAAAGCTTTATTTTGTGGCATAAGACATAATTTTTTTCTTTGCACATGCTCATTATGATTTTTTAGAGACTTTAATAATCAACCTATTTCCGCCTTTTTATGTTCTTGAGTTTTTATCTCTTCTTTAGTTTTAAAAAAGCATACAATTTAGCAATAAAACAACATTTATTAAAAAAATTCGAAAATATTTTTTTTTTAATTTTAAAATTTAGAATTGTTATAAAGACAGCTAGTGAGGATGTTATCTGTTACCCTTGGAAGAATCCCAGTGAAATTGTTCTATTCGAGGAGCACCCTTTTAAGGTAAAAAAAATGTCAAAAAATAATATTTAAAAAGAAATTGAAATTGTTTTTTTGCTGTTGAGATATATTGTTTTGGCAATATTCATCTTGTAAAAATTAAAAAAATAAGATAATAATATATTTTCCAACTTTTTGTAAAATCTATTTTTTAGGCTGGTTGGTGTCAAACTGAATGTGATTCATCTATAAGTGAATGCAAGGTAAAAAAAAAACAATTATTAAAATTACTGTTTTCATTAAAAAAAATTGTATTTAATGAAAAGAGATAATTTACGTAAACATAGTTCAGTCAATTCTCTTAACAGCGCTGCAGAAATGGTTCAACCAAAGAGAATAGAATATATATTAGAGGGGAATTTACTAGAAAAAAGTGTAAAACGGCCATTTTGTTGTACTGTTCCATACTGCAGGTTTACTTCACATATTTGTGCTATATAACCTTTTGTGCCTTGGAATATCATTTTATAGAAAATCTAAAATTAATATTAAAAGAAAACCAAATTATGAAATAGGCTGGTTTCATAATTTACAAAACATCATTTCACATAAACTCTATGCCTTTCACTTTACAAACGATGATTTTCCGTTATAACTATAAATCAAATTATGTTTTTTATTCACCTAATTTATTTTATAAAGTTTATTTAACAACTTTAAAAAATTAGCAAATTGAAATAGATAGTCTAGGGAACATGCTGTATTAATGCATATAATTTGTAAACATTTACATGATTTTTACACTTTGAACTCCCTTTCAGCCTGAAAGGGACTGAGAAAATTCATACCGAAGGATTGTCTAAATTCCCCTCTAATATATATTCTATTCTCTTTGGGTTCAACTCGGTTTACGTAGTTCAAATTCTTCTTACTTTTTAAAACTTGTCTAACCTTTTTGAAATCAAAACTGCCATGGGATAAAAGGAAATGAGTTTTTGCCACAAAAGTTAATTTTTTAATCCCAATATGTTTGCAACCCGATGTCGTAGACCTTTGATTTTTCAGACTATGAATTGTGCTAGATCTTAAAGTCTAAGTTTGAAATATCAAAGGTTCACACCATCAGGTTGAAAAGATATAGGGATTAGAAAAGTTGAGTTTGTTACAATCTTTTAGTTTATTTCTTTTGTCTCCTGTCAGGTTAGACTTGAGCTATAAGCTATGAAATGAAATGGTAGAAAAACATAAAATACAGCAATTTCACTTTGTAAATACTTAAAAGAATATTCCCATTTCATAGTTTTTGGGTCTAAATAGAGGTGAAGTCATGGGGGGGTTAGGGGGCGAAGCCCCTCTTCCTGGACCAGTGAAAACTTTCAATTTCAGGGGGTTTTCAGCCCCCAACGGATGCTGAGTCCCCTCCCTTGAAAAAAAATTAAGCCCCCCCCCACTGGACAAGTTCTTTTTGACTACGCCCTATGTCTATCTGTAAATTAATAGTTTATTTTTTAATATTCTTGAAGGATAACAGTACAAGCTGGGGTTGGTGTATTGATGGGTGCGACAAGAATACTCCAAGGAAATTCATTTAAATATTTTTCTTTCAAAATATGATATAATAATAATAATATTTTTAATTTTTCACTGTTACTAGGTTAGCAGACACTCCATAATTTCTTTGAATCTGGCTAAAAGAAATGAAAAAGTAAAAAAGAACAACTCTGCATATTTAAAAATTGTTGAATAATATTAACCCACATACGAATGATTTCAAGTTGAAGAAATGAAATTTGTTTTTGATTAGATTTTTAAAGAAAATATTTTCAAAATATAAAATTATAATTCTTTTGTTTCATTTTGCACATCAAACAGAAAATCCGTCATTTCTTTCCACCTAGTTACAGTTTTACCTATATTTTCTTTCAGGGTAAAAAAATGGCATTAAGTAATATAAACAAATGTTTTTAACTTGTTCATTCTGTGCTTTTCTTACATTCTGTCAAATTATTACCCATGGCAGCAGATATATGCAAAAAAATGACTCAAAGACGATCCAAAAACGATCCAAAAACAATCGCATAGAAACAATTGTTTTTGGATAAAGATAAAGTAACGTTTAAAAAAAGCCAACATACAGTTTTTAAATCTTGAAAGTTTTATTATTTTTTTTTTAACAATCCAAAACCATTAACTTCTCTACCTGGCGAGAACAATTTGGTAGATTTGTTCTTAATTTGATATTTAAATTGAAATATTTTCAGTGATTTCAACGACAATATACACGAGGTGATTTTTATACAAAAATAATTAGTCATTCTTTTAAAATTTACCACGGTATCCTTTTGTCCCTTCTCTGATAAATAATGGGGAAGATATCGACGTTGTTACGTTGAAAAGTGTTAAATTCTGACAATTTCTTCCATTTAGTTTTTGAAGCCGAAATCCGCAAGTTAGTTTAAAGGGAACTTACAAATACAAACATGGATATTTCATTCATTAATGATCAGAAAATGCTTTCATGGAAACCGTTGTGGATTGATAATTCCATTCTCTAAATGGAGGGTCGAACTCGAGCACTTGCAAGGAAGTCTTTCTGTTTTCAGATCCAAGTGGACTCTTTTGTTTATGAGAATTGTAGTCGAAATGTTGACACATTTACAGGTATTATTAGTAGGGTTGGAGCTGAGCTTATCTGCAGAATATATACCTTTAAAGATTATAATAACATTTTCAGTTCTGATAGTTGTTTTTTAATCTATTTTTTTCGTTAAAATGTAGCGGTCGGCTCGCCATTTTTTGAAATTTTGTTTTTTTAAACGATGTTCTTTTAGATTCCTAGGTTTATTAAAATGTATAGAGATTGAAATCGGTAACATTTAGATGTATATCTACAAAAAAGCATAAATGCCCAAGTCACTAGGAAGAGAAATTACAAATAAAAACAATCAATTATTAATAAAAAGATGATATCTCATTCATTGCAGTGAGAATCAGTAAATGGAAAGTAATTTGAAATTTCGTGTACAGATGTTTAATTAATCAATGATTTACAACAAATAGTACTCTTTAAATCTAATTATTTTTTCAAGGATTCTATTATTTTTATTTATCCTTAAAACCCAAAGAGAATAGAAGATATATTATTTAGTCAATCCCTCGGTATGAATTTTGTCAGTCCCTTTCAGTCTGAAAGGGAGTTCAAAGTGTACAAATCATGTAAATGTTTACAAATTATATGCATTAATACAGCATGTTCCCTAGACTATCTATTTCAATTTGCTAATTTTTTAAAGTTGTTAAATAAACTTTATAAAATAAATTAGGTGAATAAAAAACATAATTTGATTTATAGTTATAACGGAAAATCATCGTTTGTAAAGTGAAAGGCATAGAGTTTATGTGAAATGATGATTTGTAAATTATGAAAACAGCCTATTTCATAATTTGGTTTTCTTTTAATATTAATTTTAGATTTTCTATAAAATGATGTTCTAGGGCCCAAAAGGTTATATAGCTCAAATATGTGAAGTACACCTGCAGTATGGAAACAGTACAACAAAATGGCTGTTTTACACTTTTTTTGAGTAAATTCCCCTCTAATATATATTCTATTCTCTATGTTAAAACATTGTAGAATTTTGTACCGGATCCCCAATTACCAGACCTAAACAGCATATCGTCAGAGTTGAGGAGGGGTGAGTTTTTTTCTATTAATTTCTGGACCGATTTGCCTCAAAATTTGATTTGGGAAATCGGGAAAGCTAAGGGAATGTTCTTACTTTTGAGATTTTTGAGAAGTTTTTCGATTTTTTTAGGGAAAAAAGGCTAAAATCGAAATTGACGAAAAGGGGCATGTAAAAGGTGAAACTATAACTAGCTATGACTTCCCTGGTTCCCGTTGGTTTCTCAAGCTATTTAGAAATAAAATGTTTGGTTTTTTCTTGCAGCGAAAGACTGAAAGCTTCAGAATTGAACTTTTAAGCAATTTTTTAGAAAAAAATTCTAGGAATAGATGTTGATGAAAAATATTTAATTCTGTAATTGGTAGCAAAGAAAACAGCTATACATGGTTACCTAGAAAGGATGAGGCTGTAAAGACGACCTGAAACTTTTATAATATGACACGATCTAAAGGATAAATTAAGTCTTCTGCCTTGAACTTTAATAAGTTATTTAACAAAGAAAGAAACACGTTTACAGTTGCGTTCGTGAATATGGAAACACAAAGTATGAATTCCGTACAGTCGTCTCTGAAGTATCATCCTTTGTGGGTAACCTTGAACATTAAGATTAAATTTTTTATTTTGTTACTCTACTCGATAATTATTTTCTTTCGACAATTTAAACTTCAAAATTGTGAAATAAAATTTTTGGTTAAATCATTTTTTTGTTTCAATTTTCAGGGAATTTGAGATGGTTAAAACTGAGCCAGAAATCTGGCATCCGGGTAATATTGGTTGGAATGGGAATGACACAATTATCAGGTTTTTACATTTTATCTTTTAATCTTTGCAAAACTAACAGTTTACGGTGGACTAGGGTAAATTAGAATTCCAACCGGCCCGGCCCTATCCGTTGCCGGTTTTGTTTCAATTTCAATTTAAAGAATGTCATGAAAAGGATGAAAAAAATTGTTCGTTTACTTTAATTTTCTTTTTCAAATAAAACAAAAATGTGATACTTTAAAAAATTCTTATCACTTTATTTTTTTTATAACATGATATTGGACAGTCCAAAGACACCTTAAAATTGTTTGTAATCATTTCTAGCGTTTCATCCTCAAACAGAATCAAATCGCCGATTTTTTTTAAAGTAACTTTAGTTGTAACTTCCTTCCCCTCTTCCGACCTTTCATTTCAAGATTGGCATTTCCTATGTACAATGAAAAGGAATTGGCTTAAATATCTTTTCAATAATATTTTTTTTTCTTTTCAGACCTGGGTCAAGATACCAAGGGCGTCAGCATTCTAGTGTTGTAGGTGACAGTTGTTTTGGTGACGCGGGTGGGTCAGTCTGGAAATATTGGAGGTTTAAGGACCCAGCTAGTAACGCGCCGGTCAGACCGGACCATGGAACACTGGCGGTTCTCACAGGGGTCGTATCCAGGTACAGAGTGTCTCATTAAACATGGGATTAGAGTGAACATTTTTTATTGTTCTAATGTTTAATATCTCCGCCAATTTTAAAGATACAGAGAAGTAATTAAGTTAACATTGATAAGCTTATAAAATGTACTCTTTTTTAGATACATTATTCGTTTATCAACTACCACAATTAAAACAAAATTCAAAAAAATTCAAGTTGCCGCTGAATTTCTTTGCTTATCCGGTCACACTGTTGTTAAATTTTCAAAATACCATCAACTGAATCTTAAAACTAACAGATCTCTGCCATCTTTAAAGATAGAGAAGAAAATATGCTTGAGGAATGAAAGATGTTTTATTATCTGTAGTCTAAAAGTGCAGATGTCAAAACATGTGAATCCTGCAATAAAGATTTCACGATAAAATTTTTGGTAATCTCCAACAAGCAATGGACCAAATGAAATTCTAAAATGTCACATTTGGAGTGTTTCGCTGTCTTTTAATAAAAATGTACTTAACGTTTATAGATCCCATTCTATAGATTCAGATTATCAAAAAAGGGAACAATATATATTAATTAAAAAACTTAAATTGTTAATTTTTAAATTAACAAATTTTGCGTTTCATTTTTGTACTGCTTTTATACACTTCTTTTTACCATTTTATAAACCATTTTTTATGCACTTGAATACCATTTAATTATACCCACTCAGCCACTATATCAATATTCATAAATCTTTTTTCTACAACAATGATTTCCATCGATATAATCAAAAGTTGATTTTACTGAACAAATTTTGTTGTTAGATTTGAAGAAAACTGTGGAGCATTTCAGGCAAGGTTTCTTAATGGATTATTAAAATCTATAAATATGTATTAAACTACAGTGAAACCCTTAATAACGAATACATCGAAAGAATTCATCAAATGTCGTATTCTTCACTTTCTGATAATGGAATGTTGCAGATATTTAGTTTTTTAATTAAATGATTATATGGAACCCCCGCATATTCATGGCTATTTATTTATTTTCGCAAATACTGAAATTCACGAAATATCGTATAAAACTCATTGAAAAAGTGTCAAGACGACATTTGATAAATTCTTCCGATGTAACCGTTATAAAGGGTTTCACTGGTTTCACTGTAGAATTTTTACTTAAACGACAAAGATGATTCAAAGTATCAATATTACTTGTATTTTTATCCCCAACATGAGAGATATATGATGAAGAAATGTGTCAATCATTGTCAGCAAAATCAATAAATTTGAGTTGAACGAAAAGACGACATTTATTATTATATTGTTCAGGGTGGCGAGGGAGAAACTGATCATCCAAACCTACCAACTCAGCATACTATTCACGCCAGGGTTCAACAGCACTTCAGTAGGTTTATCCTTATATTCATGGTATAGTTCCAAAAAATAAGACTGTAAAAAAAACCTAAAACTATTTAAATATGACGATTTCAAGTTTAAATCTAGTCTCTTGTCTCGGATAAATTGTCCTTGAAGTCTAAATTCTTATCCTTGTGGGTAACCCTATATATATATTGAAATAACTTTGCAAAAGCGTATATAATACCCCCCCCCCCCCCCCGCCACGGTGGGTTATTTCAGGGGATCATGGAGGAGTGTTTTGTCACAATACTCCTCTTAAAATGCATTTGTCTTGTGTTTCATGGTGAGAATGGACAAAATGAATATATTCTGATAATATTTACATTTACAAACATTGTTTGAATTGTAGCTAGCATTGATTTAAAATGATTTCAATTTATAATTTAGTGGGGTGGGGTGGAGAAGTGGGGTGGGGTGGAGAGTGTGTGACACCAGTTCTCGTTAGATCACTGATTCACGGGTTCGATTCCCGTACTCCACACAAACCTGTGGTTTCAAAAACATCTGAAGCCGACATCTGGTTTAGCAGTTATGACCACCTGACGGATGTAGGGGGACAGAGGGGCGGCTGTCAACAACTCTCGCAGCGAAAGGGTGCGTGCTTTCTGCTCAACAAGAAAGAAGCTTCAAGTGGGATTGATCCAAGTGAATGACGATGAAGAGAGGAATGGTGGACAAGCAGGGAGAGTCTATGGTTGCCAGCTATAGGTACCTGGGGGTATCCAATCCGGGCTTACAGATGTTAGGGAGCAATGAGTGTGATGTTTCCTATCAGTACGGCACCCGGGCCTCATTCCAGTATATCAGAAGGATTCCTGCACTCTATATTCTCAGGCCTAAGAAGAATCTTAGGCAGCTGGAATCTTGTCAACCCTCTTCTCAGAATGAATGAAGCGTGGATGGATGAATGTGCTGCCAGATTACAACCCCTGGTAGATCAATATAAAAACCCAGACAACACCAAACTTTCGCAATAGAAAAAATTCCGAGATTTGATCGTAACAACCCGATCATGTCCTGGGGACAAAAAAATCTCTTTTAAAAAATTTATAATTACTTTTCCCTTTCATATATTTATCCTTGAATGGATGTCGTCTTTGTCACAGTGAGTATTTCGGAAGAAAAACATATATTTTATAGTAAAAGCACAGAAAGCACAGGGGTTCGGGATAATCTAAATATATAAATAGATTCTAACAGCCATATTGAAAAGATTTAGGGGCTCCTGCAGCAGCACCTCAAAACCTTGATTTAGTCTAAGTAGCGTGTTGAAAAATCCTATTTTAAGAGTTTTTTAATGAAATAGTGGGTTTTCGGTCGAAATTCTTAACTAGAACCCAACATTCAAACAACTTAGAAACTTCTCTCTGAAAAGAAGTTCTGAAGCTGGCCGCTTCAAAACTTATTTGACATAAAGAGGAGGTTTATGGAATAAGTTCTTTTTGGCTGCCCTCCCCCCCTAATACCTTACTGTGTCCCCCCCTTCTCCCCCATTGTTTATTTAGTACAAATTGTTGCTAGTTAATATGGACATAAGATTTAAATTTTGACGTGTTCAAATCAACAATGATTTTTAACTTAGTTTAATAACTTTCCAATAATAAAATAGACAGGGTTACCCAAAAAGGATGAGACTACAGAGACACTCCTCTTTGCCGATTCCATTATCGCCTGATCCAATCAAGGTTCAGTCATGTGTTTGTTGTCTATTCTGAGCCAATAGAAATAGTATGGCGGTATCATCTATCTTTCTATCTATCTCATTATCCAATTAGAGTTATGTATCATTCAATCGGCGCTATCAGTAAATCGAAATATTTACTTACACTGAAACTATAGTGAGGAATGTATATATTGCCTGTTTTCTAATATTCACGATTCCCTGCAACTGTGAACTTGTTTCTTTCTTTGCAAAATCATATAATAAGCTATTAAAAAACTCTATCCAAGACAGAAGACTTAATTTAACCTTAGAAACGTCATAATTTAAAAAGGCTTTAGGTCGTCTTTACAGTCTCATCCTTTGTGGGTAACCCTGTATAATAAGAAAATATAAAATATTTGGAATCATTTATTTTGAATATTTATTGTATAAGCTTTAGTTTAGTTTTATTTTACAAAGATTGTTTGTTTCAGGCTGGATTACGAAAACTGTGTTTTCTGAGGCCAGCTGTGGGATCATAACTGGTTCCAAAGAGGACGCTGTTAACCGAGGTAAATTATAAACATCTAACTCAAGATTCACATTCTAAATCTTCATTTGGTAAACTACAGCGATAACCAGAAAACTGAAGAAAAGGAAGACGACATTAAAGCAATACTGAAGTTGCAAAGCAAAAAGCTTTACTAGTAAGTTATTAAATCACTTATTAAGTAAACTGGGTCTGTTAACACTGCACAATGCTGTGATTTGCCAAAAAAGAAATAGTTGGCGTCCAATCGGTTCAGCCGTCATGCCGTTAATGCTTATTATCTACAGGGTTACCCACAAAGGATGAGACTTCAGACTTCAGAGTCGATTGCACGAAATTTGTTACGTCCGTTTTCTGGCATTTAAGATTCCTTCTAGGCCAAAACTGTGCTTAATTATTTAGTAAACTAATACTAAAAATACTCAATTGAATGCAGAAAACAAAAATCAAGCTTAAAGCTTATTTTAGAGTTTTGGGTCGTATTTACAGTCTCATCCGTTGTGGGTTACCTGTAGAAAGATTTTAATTCCATATTCCATTCCATTTCACTCCTGTAAATGATTTTAAAATCTTTCTTTAATGAGACTGTGAGCGTAATTTCAAGTGACCCTCCATGCAAAGATGACAATGCACGATTCACAACGGTACCCTTGAAACCTTTATCAGATCAATAATATGTCGTTTTTCCAAGTTTTAATAGTGTTTCATTAAAATTTCCCTGTATTAGAAATACACATGTAACTTATGTAGATAAAACAAAAATCGAGAATAATCAGTTTTAAAAATTGTAAACATTGATATATAATTATTACTTGATCAGACAAAGGTTTGAAGGGTAATGTTGTGAATCGGGGGTTTCCATCTTTGCATGGAGAGGCACTTTAACATTGTTTTAATGCAGTTAGTATTTTGGAACTGAATGAGTCTGAGATAGAGCTACTCAACGGTTCAGGAGAGAATTCAGGAGACTACTCTGGAGATGGCTTTCCTCCGTATGAAGCGAATGAATCGCCTGCAGAACAAGAACTGAAAATGAACGAAATAGTTCAGCAAGGAAAGCCATAATAATTGTGTTTATATTAATCTGTGTCCGAATTTAATGAATCTAAGCCGCGTCTTAAATCCGCCAAAAACCGGTTTTAATTGAGCGCCGGCTTAAATCTTGAAATGTTGAATACTATTTTAAGTAGAACCAACCATATTTGAGCCCCGGCTTAAATTTAAGCCGCGGTTCAAATTCTTTAAATTCGACCTCTGGTAATATTTTTTGTCTTGATTTTTTTCATGGTTGTTTCGGAAATAGATTCCGGAATATCGGAAGTTGAAAATGATTCGGATTCCGAGGTAGAATCAGATTCCGCTTTCTGGATGAATCCGTCCCGTGCAGAAGTACCTCCCTAGGTATAAAGTCAAAAAATTTTAATTTTTCAATTGACTTGATCTTTTGCCCATTTATATTTGTTCTTTTTATATCATAAAGGTTAAGGCATTTATTTAAAAATTTACAAATACTGGTCACGTGATTTCCGTTTTCATCACGTGACAACGATACTGCGCTGCCATTGGTTGAAATTCTGGAGACGTAATACAAAATATACGGACAATATGTAATAATATCAATTATATCTATAAAAAATGCAAACTAAAAATAAAATTATAATAGGAGCAAACCTGAGATTCTCAGGGTCCTGTGGAATATTGTCGCTTTCAGATTGGTTGCGTATTTGTTGAATATGATCTGTTTAATGCTAAAAATTTTATACAAAATTGCATGTATATGAATTTTCGTATAAATTTGACACAGTTTTATATCAATTTCTCGAGACAGGAACATCAGATAGATGTTTTAGAAGTATCGTTCAACTCCTGAGATTCTCAGGTTTCATACTATACCCCCTTTAATTTTTCCTTTACAGTCCCTTTAAGAAAATTGAACATTCTCAATAATATTTTTGGCTTTGTAGGCCTAGAAGGGGATATGGAGTATCAAGATGAAAAGTAATAAACACGCTAGGGTTGGGTAAAATGAACATTTATACTTCAAGGCAGATTTTTTAGCAGATTGTATATATATATGCATGGCCAAGTTTGCTTCTGACTTTCTGAGATGCAAATCATTTTCTTCATAACTTTACTTTAAGAACAATTGAATCCGTTAAAAATGGAAAACTAGCAAACTAAAAAGTTTTTTTTAAATTCGGAAAATTTTGAAGGTTTTTTGGATCTCACTCTAGGTTTTGTTAAAACATTTGACAGATTATAGTTCTTTGTAAAAGTACCAAGAATAGTCGAAAACGCAAAAACAAATATCGCTCCTTATTCTTATTGTGTTTTGAATGTCTAAGTAGTTTTTATTCATTCGGTAAAAAACAGTTTTTTTTTCTTGTATTTTATGCCTTGGCCCTAGGGACGTTCATTTTACTTATAGCATCGACATAGTAATAACTTTTATATGTTTGATAATAAATATATTCTTGCGATTAATATTCTTCTCATCTACTCTTGATGTTTCTGACGATTACTAATTTATCATTGCAATTAGCTGGGTTTTTACAAAAATGAAAGTAAAAATGAACACATGCCTAAAACTTTTTAATCTTTTTATCTTAGCAAACTTTTTGCGCAATCCTTTGACATGCTTAACTAGGAATGGAATCGAGTCTTTGCCACAAACTCTGATTTTCGAATCCCTACTTATTTGCAACTCAACGTCGAAGACCTATATTTCGAATTATAAATTCTGTCAAATAATTTTAGTTTAAAATATCAAATATACGCCATCAAGTTGGAAAGATACAAAGATCCGAAAAGAGTTCTGCAATCTGCATATAGCTGAGCAAAAAACATTAAAAAATTCTTAAATTCTTAATATAGAAAAATGTCTGTCTAAATTCTAAAATCTATGTAGCACTGCGCACCAATGAGTAGGTTACATTTTGTTTATATTCGGGTACTAAGGGTTACCCAGAACGGATGAGACATCAGAGACGACTGTACAGAATTTATACCGTCTTTTTCCTTGTATTCATGAATCTCTTCAACTTGCAACATTTTTCTTTTTTTTCCTAATCTTTGTATAAGGTTATAATGCAGTGAAAGTTGTTTCAGGGGTAGGCGCATCTTTTGTACTGAAGTAAACACAAGGAGGATGTCGAAGCCTAACATGGGATCCATCTTTCACATAAAAAATCTATGAAATATTCTGGTCATAGGAATCTAAAATGTGAATTATCAAAATTATCAAATTTTATAGCTTTTAACCCCCTTGGATATTAAACTAACACTGATGCATCTTTTCTTGTTTACAATTTCCGCTCAGAGAGAATTGGTTTCAATATGTACGTAGAGTATACGCAACTGCAATTAACTTTCCTTGCATTAGAACCTTGCTGAAAATAAAATGCTATATTTAAGTCAGATCTTATTTGTCATGAGTTCTGATAGTTTTACAGTCTCTGTACACGCAAACGTATCCCTCTACTTTAGGAAAAAATAAAAAATTAAGTTTATATCAATATATATATTTAACAATGATTCCGGGTACAAAAAATAACTAGAGTGCAGAGGACTAGACAATTTTTTCAAAATGTGCTTGCGAATTTTTCGCGCACATAGATCTAGTTATGACCAGATTTGTCACATAAAAGGGGTTTTTAATTTCGTTTATCACAGGTGATTCCTTGATTTTTTTTTAAGGTAATTTCTTTTTAAAGTTTCATTGGACGTATCAGGGTTTTTAACAATAATAAATAAAATGCTGAAAATGAAGTTAATTTTTACATATAACTTTTACATTAACGAATAGATTACATCAATTGAAAGGATAAGTAAAAACTTCCTGAAAAAATTCGAATTGGAGTTTTTTAGTTCAGATTTTAAGATTCTGTATATTCAAATATCTATACACAGTTTTTTAGATTTCGTGAAAGATAATTAAAAATGACATAACAACAAATAAAAACACGAAGAAAGTTTTACAAAAATTCAGAATTTGCAGGTTTAGGTTAAGAAACTCTTCCGGTCATAATGAAAAACATCAAATAAGGTTTGAAAAAAAAATTAAAAAATATTTCTTAGAATTTCAAATGCTGAATTTCTTGGTTTAAATTTTGGGAGAATTTTTGCGTAGATTCTTAAGAATCTTGAAAATATAAAAAATACATTTTAATGGGATCCGCTGTTTAATGGGATCCGCTGTTTTCTAATTGCCACAAACTCTGATTTTTCAAACCCTTTATCTTTGCAACCTAATGTATAAGGTTTACACCATCGGGTTGTAAGATACAAGGATTCGAAAATTTAATTTTGTGGCAAAGGAAGATTTTTTTTCTAGAAATGATTTTTCTTATTATTAATATTTTTATCCGAATTGGAAAATGAAGATCCCAAAATAAACCAAATATTCCAGAAACAGACCTTAGATTCCGGAAAGGTAGACTAATGATTCCGGAAATAAATCTAAGGTTCCAGAAATAAACACAGAAATCCGGAAAAAAATTAGAATCTGGAAATTGTGCTGATTCGGCCTAGATTCGGATTTACAATTTCTCTTCTTCATCCGGGTTCTGATCCATGGAGTAGTATTTAGTATCAGATATATTCTGTAGATCAATATACCCATGCTGATCCTCCAGCAGCTTAGCCAGGTCCTAGATAGATAGATAGATAGATAGATAGATAGATAAATTGATCAATCAATCATAAATTGATCAATCAATCATAAATTGATCAATCAATCATAAATTGATCAATCAATCATAAATTGATCAATCGATCATTAATTGATCAATCAATCTTAAAATTTTCAATCCGACTCTTAGCAAATTAATCATTATTCATTTGATCATTTAATCTTACAAATGATCGTTTAATCAATCGATAAAATCAATTAATCAATTACCTTTCTTAGTTCGGAAAAGTCTGGACGTTTATTCATATCTCCTGACCAGCAGGTTTGGATGATATGGTAAAGCTGTGGATGACAGTGAGCCGGTCGTTCTAGACGATATCCATCCCTGACCCGCCGCATCACCTCCCTGGCACCCATACCGGGGTACGGGGTCGATCCTAATCATTGTTTAATTATTGTTAAAAAAAAATTTTATCTGATTTTTTTTTGTCGCAGGTCCATTAGTACCTTTGTAGTCAACATTTTTTTTAGTTTTTTAACAAAATTAGATATTTTGTTATCACTTCTATAATAACTTATAAACATTACTAAGTTTCTACTTACAAAATGAATAAACTAAATATAACATCTTTTTTATTTTATTTAGTTTTCCGAAATTTTGTATTTTGGTTAAAATGGAAGATTCACAGTTTTAATATTATTTTATGCTATCATTAATTACATTTTTATTTTTATGTTTATATTTTTATATTTACCTAGGGTTACTATCTCCCACATGAGTATACCGAACCCCCAGACATCAGATTTAGGTGTAAACACAGAGAAATATAAACTCTCAGGAGCCATCCATCTAACGAAAAATATATACTAAAGGGATTGCAGAAATTAGGAATCAAAATTAAGCTAAGCTCTTTGCAGACAAGGTTCCAAAAAGGGACAAAATAAAAATTAAAACTAAGCGTCAAAGTAATCACAATATTTTTCTTAAAAGTGGATTTTTAATATCATAATTTACGACAAATATTTACATATACAATTTATTGTTTTGACCTTCAGAGCTGAAAACTTTAGAAATGTAGATATTAAGATCAATGCTTGATCTCTTCTTTTTATTGATCTCAGGACTAATTTTATCATTGTTTTTTCTTCTTATTGAGAGAGCTCTCATTCTCGGAATCTGGTAAGGATATACAAAAAAAGAGAAAAAGAGCAGATTAAGCAGATGATTAAAAGTAAAATGAAATTTATAATTATTTACAACTACTTTAAGGGTAATTTTAGGAAACTTTATTTACAGAGCGAAGCTAGGTTAAGTAAAATTGCCCAAAACAAGAATTTGGAAAAAATACGCGATTTTTTTCTACATAAAACTTCGCAGTGCGGGTGGTTATTTTACCATACTGTCCCAAAGGACGTAAAGCAACTTCACGTCCCAATGTTAGGGGAATCATAGGTCGGTAATGTTGGTTGTAGAATAATTAAATTTCGATTTTTATAAATTATTTTTTACCTTATTGGTAGAGCACCCTTTGATTTCTGTTCATACATCTCTCCACCTAGATTTCAAAATAAAAATAAAAACTTTGGAGAAAAAAAGGTAAAAGTAAATTTAAAAAATGTCCAACCTAAATCTTTCAGATTCCTTGAGAGTCCAAAATCCGAAATTTTACAGTTTTTACTCTGATCCACTAGAATATTTCTTGCTGCAAGATCACGATGGATTATCTAGAAAAAAAACATCATTACAAGATTTGTTACAAAATAATAACAGTTTAAAGGAATTTAACAAGACATGATGAAAAATAATGTTATTAAATTATTATTAAGGCTGTAATTATAATGTCAATTATCATCAAAATGATGATAATTTTTTAGCATTGTGGGAAGAAAAAACAATGTGCGGAAGAATTGAAATATGATTAATGATTAAACTACTCAGATACAGAGATACACAGATACAGGGATACAGGGATACACAGCTATACAGGGATACACAGCTATACATGGATACAAGATACATGGATACAGGGATACACGTATACACAGCTATATATGGATACAAGATACATGGATACAGGGATACAGGGATACACAGATACTTGGATACAAGGATACACAGATTCTTGGATACACAGATACATAGATAAACAGATACTTGGATACACAGATACTTGGATACACAGATACTTGAACACTTGGATACGTGGATACACAGATACATAGATACACATATTTACATATATATACAGATACACAGATACACATATTTACATATATATACAGATACACAGATACACAGATAAACACAGATAAATGCATTATTTCAATTTTATTTTTTAGTTGTTTTCCTCAATACTTAATCCGTAAAGATAAGGTTGGATAAAATTAAGATAATTTTAGGGATCCATTTCCTATCTCAATCTTAGATACAATCTTTGTGTATTTAACCCCCCCCCTACCAACTATTAATTAATTTGAAATCATATCTCTTATTCCTAAAGTGGTATTTGATCTATTTAATCTATATATAAAATTGGCTAGTCTGTCTGTTTGTTTGTATCCAATAAACGTCAAAACGGCTGAACCGATCAGGCCCAAATTTTTTGTGGGATCTCGCGTGATCCCAGCGAAGGTTTATGAATGATCAAAGATTTAAAAATTTCTGCTTAAAAGTTTTTTTTGTAAAGTTTTGAAAATGCGCAAAAAATATTATGAAATCCGTAAACTTTTGTTTGTTTTTGTTTTATACTGTTAGGAGAAGATGCTCAGAGATAAAGCCACAATAAAAGTTTAAATAGAAGAACCTAGTTTTCTAAATATTATCCTGCAATAAAAAAAAAGTCACTTTTCTACAAAAAAACACATTTGAAAAAAGTCATTTTCAAAAATTATAAACATTGATATTATGAGGGTCACATGAAATTTAGTCCAATAAATAATGTATTTGAATACCCGAAGTTGAAAGCTATTTTATACTGGAGGTTTTTGACAACCAAATTCGTATGAATGCTCTATAAATATCTATCTCGGGAATATAATATGCTCATGAAGGCATGTTTAAAAAGTCCAGTTTAGCTCGGTAAAGGTTTGTTTTGTATTTGAAGAATAGCGGAGCTTTATCAAAATATGGTTCGACAATCAGATAAAAGTTTAGTGTTAGGATTGTATTGTATTTGTTGTAATCGATCATCTAGACTTTTAGGGGCGTTCACAGAATTTGGTTTTTAGGAGGAAAAAAAAGCATCTTTTGTAATTATTCAAAATAAACATTTTTGTTTTTAATACTCCTTCTGGATAGTTCAGATATGATAGAGTTAAAGGAGAAGGAGGGCTAGGGAGGGGAAGGGGTGGATGCATAGTAAGTACGATAATTTATTTTTGAAAAAGAGTTAGAATTTGGAATTGTACAGCCTTTCTCTGTTTCCATTCATATCAGTGTTAAAAAATAAAGAAATAATATAAAAAACATATCTATCAAATGTATCCATAGACAAACACTGCACTGGTCCCACATACATTGTACTCTTCACGGCTGATATTGGACCCTATGTTCTAACCCATCAAATCTTGAATATATTGAACCCAGCACTTACCCCTTTAGAGATGATAAACTCCATCCCCTTGGCCACTCCGTAAGCAAACTTAGTCAAATCCTTGGCCGTCAGGGACTCAGTCATATCATTCGTCTCCTAGATGGTTAGCTATGTAAGACGATAGATTCGAAGGTAGGTAGGTAAATTAAAAAGTTACAAGTTGAGAGCCAAGTAGGTAGATAGGTAGGTAGATTAATAAGTTACAAGTTGAGAGGTAGGTAGGTAGGTAGGTAGATTAATAAGTTACACGTTGAGAGGTAGGTAGGTAGGTAGGTAGATTAATAAGTTACAAGTTGATAGGTAGGTCGGTAGATTAATAAGTTCCCAGTTGAGAGGTAGGTAGGTAGATTAATAAGTTCCAAGTTGAGAGGTAGGTAGATAGATTAATAAGTTACAAGTTGAGAGGTAGGTAGGTAGATTAATAAGTTACAAGTTGAGAGGTAGGTAGGTAGGTACGTAGATTAAGAAGTTACAAGTTGAGAGGTAGGTAGGAAGATTAATAAGTTACAAGATGAGAGGTAAATAGGTAGATTGTTAAGTTACAAGTTGAAAGGTAGGTAGGTAGATTATTAAGTTACAAGTTGAGAGGTAGGTAGGTAGATTAATAAGTTACAAGTTGAGAGGTAGGTAGGTAGGTAGGTAGATTGATAAGTTCCAAGTTGAGAGGTAGGTAGGTAGATTAATAAGTCCCAAGTTGAGAGGTAGGTAGGTAGTAGTAGTAATTCGTAAGTTTAAAAAGATCTCCGAAACCTTTCATTAACGTGCGAAAATTTTAGAAAAATTATCAATGATTCAGTTAACTAAAAAAGACTCTTTTGTTTAGTTACAAACGAGCGCAGTAAAAAAGTGCCCATCCCTCGGTTTGAGAGTCAGGTAGGTTTTTAGATATTATAGTTAAGTAGGTAAAAGGTATGCTTCCAGGTAGATAGGTAATCAGGTGATAGGTAGGTTTGTAAATATGTGAGTAGGTGATTGGTAATTCTAATGATATATTCGGAGATCAAAATTTGGCCCACGGTCCCTTTATGTTTACCTTAGAGAACGTGAAGAATGATGATTGTTTAGCTCTCTGTTCTCTAAGATGGGTCAGCAGTTTACCGTACATAACATACTCCATAATCAACAAGAACGGTTCTAAACATATTATCTGTTAATACAGCAGTTTACCGTACATAACATACTTAATCAACAAGAACGGTTCTAAACATATTATCTGTTAATACAGCAGTTTACCGTACATAACATACTCCATAATCAACAAGAACGGTTCTAAACATATTATCTGTTAATACAGCAGTTTACCGTACCGTACACATACTCCATAATCAACAAGAACGGTTCTAAACATATTATCTGTTAATACAGCAGTTTACCGTACAAAAATGACAAAACATAAGTTTAGAAATAATGAAAATCAAAATAAAAAAGATGCCAATCTTGTATTTTGTTTGCAACATCTTTATAAAATATCTATTTGCAGTATTCTTTATAAAATAACGGAATTTCGGAAGTTTTAAAGGGAGTTTTAGCGAAAACTGAACTGGGGGTCAAGTTCAACCCTTAAAAAAGTCAGATATGATAGCTGCTAATTTTACATCTATCTTTCAAGTCAAGACTGAGAAAATTATTGAAAACGCTTAATACCCTAGGAATGTAAGGCCGATATAAATCCGGATTTTTTTGCGAACACTCCCTTTAAATAATGAAATTTTTAAAAGTTATAATGTTTTTGCATTATATTTGCCACTAATCTAAATTACCTCCTAATGTTTTAAACAAAGGTTAAATTGAGTTTATTTTCATGCTGCAAACAATGTGCAAAATATGTGCAAAATTTGCAAATAAATTATGAAAGTATTCAATCTTTGCAAAATATGTGTACAATAAATTGCATTACATTTAATGGCATATAAAACTTTGCATATTTAATGCACGCCTGGATGATAATGCAACTAATCAAAAAATTTAAATTTAAATTTAAAATATTTACGAACCTTTAAATATCAAATACATTTTAAACCTCCCCCTTCCCCCCCTTTATCCAAATTGCAGAAAAATCAAAAAGTGTCAAAAATATGGTGATACAATCAAAAAGAAAATCTTAAAAAGAAAATGGAAAATTAGTAATCTTCAGATGAAATTACTCGAAAATTAATTACTAAAAAAACAATTTGAATTTTGTAAACAATTCATACAGTCTCTAAATCAAACCTCTGTGTTGGTATATTTTAAGGGGGTGGGGGGGGGGAGGTTGAATACATTAAAACAATTTTTTAACAATTTACAGGTTAAACAGTTTTAAAATTCATTTTATACTTTAATATGTCGGATCGGTAAATTCCCAGTATAAACATTACCTTGTAACGTTGAGACACCTAGTATTGAAACAATATTAGGATGTGGACCAATATCTTTCATTATATTCATCTCTTGGAGCAGATCATCTACATCCTTCCCTCCACAACCCTCCTAGATAGATAGATAGATAGATAGATAGATAGATAGATAGATAGATAGATAGATAGATAGATAGATAGATAGATAGATAGATAGATAGATACATAGATAGATAGATAGATAGATAGATAGATAGATAGAAAGATAGATAGATAGATAGATAGATAGATAGATAGATAGATACATAGATAGATAGTTAGATAGATAAATAGATAGATAGATAGATAGATAGATAGATGATGTGACAGCTAGTATAAAAGAGTAAAAGTTAACTATGCATGCCGCTGCGTATTATCATCAAACACCGACACGAGACGACAACAATCTTTGTTAAGCCTTGCAAGCCTTTCAAACCTTTTTCATGGTTTTATGCAGTGCTTTGACATTATTAATGAAGGAAGAAGTTGATTTTAACCCCCTCCCCCTCCCCCTCCCCCAACCTATCATTTTTCCGCAATCATACTAATTAAATCATATAAATCAAAATTGTACACATTTTTTGAAACTTCATTTTGTTGTTAAATCTTTTTATATTTTTAAAATTAAAAAATTTATAAAAGGTGGAAAAATTATCAAAACATTTATCCCCCATAACACCCCCCCTCTCCCAATAACCACCCCCCCCCCTTCTTCAAGGATTCATATCACAATTAGATAGGAATTAAAACATATAATACATCATTGATGATTAATTAGCTTTGATTCAGTTAGATAATTCAAGCTAATTATAATCATATATCTCTATACATTAAGTATTACACAAACTTTATAAGACTAAGAACTTATATTATTTCTAGTCGAGCGTAGCGTACTTTTTAAAGAGACACTCGACGTAATTCAATGACCCTCCAAAATTTATTGATATAAAAATGTTTTTCTATTGATAAATTCAAAATTTAAAATTGGGTTTCACCAAAACTTGCGTCGAAAATCCGTTTTTTAGAATGAGAAAAAAAAAATAAATCAGAAAAAAATATCAGAAAAAAATATATGAAATAGTCGAGAAAAAAAAGAGAAGAAAAGAAATAAGATTGATCAGCAAATATTAAATAGAGGTCGACTTGAAGTTTAAAACTGTAAAATCATTGTTTTATTTAAATTTTAAAATTTAAAAAACTCAAACACAAAACATAAAAAAAATCAGACACAAAACATTAAAAACTCAGACACAAAACATTAAAAAACTCAGACACAAAACATTAAAAAAACTCAGACACAAAACATTAAAAAAAAACTCAGACACGAAACATTAAAAATACTCAGACACATAAAACATTAAAAAACTCAGACACAAAACATTAAAAAACTCAGACACAAAACATTAAAAAACTCAGACACAAAACATTAAAAAAAAACTCAGACACAAAACATTAAAAATACTCAGACACATAAAACATTAAAAAACTCAGACACAAAACATTAAAAAACTCAGAAACAAAACATTAAAAAACTCAGACACAAAACATTAAAAATACTCAGACACAAAACATTAAAAAACTCAGACACAAAACATTAAAAAACTCAGACACAAAACATTAAAAAACTCAGAAACAAAACATTAATAACTCAAACACAAAACATTAAAAACTCAGACACAAAACATTAAAAAACTCAGACACAAAACATTAAAAAACTCAGAAACAAAACATTAAAAACTCAAACACAAAACATTAAGAACTCAGACACAAAACATTAAAAAAAAACTCAGACACAAAACATTAAAAAAAAACTCAGACAAAAAACATTAAAAAATTCAGACACAAAACTTTGAAAAACTCAGACACAAAAAATAAAAAAACTCAGACACAAAACATTGAAAAACTCAGACACAAAACATTCAAAAATTCAGACACAAAACATTGAAAAACTCAGACACAAAATATTAAAAAACACTCAGACAAAAAACTACATTATCCCCCCCCTCCCACTGTTCAAACCCAAATTGAAGATTTTGGTTTAAAAATTGAAGATGAGAGAATTTATGCCATGCAATCCTGAAATATACATTAAACTGCCTGCATTATCATAAATGTGTTTTTAATCAAACAGAATTAGAGCAAGGACACTGTATTATCACAGCAGGAGGGAAGGAGGAAGGGAAGTTGGGGGGAGGGGGAAGGAAGGGCGGAGGGGGAAGGAAGGGTGGAGGAGATTTGCTATTTTTGTTAAAAAAAATTATCACACGAACTCGTAAGTACAAGCATAAAATTTTTAAATATTTTTAGCACATATTAAAGGGACCGAACACATTTCAAGTGACCCTCAAAGCAAAGATCGGAGTGCCCGATTTACAACAGTACTCTTTAAACCTTTGATAAATCATCGAGTGCAGAGAGCACCATGTGGTTTTCTCTAAAATGTCCAAATTGCCGGACAAATGGAGGGTGCGCTAGCAGACCATGTGAACTCAACATTCCGAATATTTTTGTCCAACATGGTTTTCGAAAATTTCAACGTAAACCTTTATTTTAATAAAAATTAATATTTCTTGAATATAACCCAGCTCGCAAACAAAGAGTTCATCAACTACAATCGTTTTTGTAGATAAATAAATGAGCACTCAAAGGTTTGAAGGATGTTGTTGTGAATAAGGTTTAAAGGATGTTGTTGTGAATAAGACCCACACTCTACTACGGAGGAAGCATTTGAAATTTGCGTACAGTCTCTTTAGCACATATATGTCATTCAGCGGAAACTATCCCTTTAAATGTAAACAATTGGGAAATATTTGATTCAAACTGAGCCTAGAGCTATTATTGTCAGATTTTCTTTAAAGAAGTCATGACTTTGATTTAGGCCTAGTTTGCTTTAGGGCTTCAAGATAGATAGATATATGATGAATGGTTAGATGATCAATAGATGGATAAATAGATAGATCGTTAGCTAGCTAGACCGATAGATAGAAAGAAATAAAAACAAGATAGAAAAAAATATAAATAGAAGTGTAAATAGATAGTTAGCTAGCTAGAGATAGATAGATATAAATGGATAAATATATAAATAGATAGATAAATAGATAGATAGATAGATAAAAAATAAAGATAGATAAATAGATAGTTAGATAGATAAAAAATAAAGATAGAAAGATAGATAAATAGTTATTTTAAAACGCTATGTTAAGGTGGTCGGGTATACTTTGAGAAATGTTTTGAGCAAAATAAACAAAATTATCAGCAATATCTAAGACACAAAAAATCTCCGTAACTTTAACTTTAACTGTAAGTAATTTAATAAGAAATTGATTAATTATTAATGAATATAAAGCAATATATCGCAAGCGTAGATAAAATTAAAAAAATTCTTCCTAATACAGAATTGAAGGAATAAATCATTTACTTTTAGCTTCTTAAAACCCCATTTAATATGCTTTTAGGAAATCATTTTTCAAGTGTTTTTTAAATCATCCAAAAAATTTAAAAGTAAATCTAAAAGTTGTTTGAATTAGAAAGTAGTAATAATTAATATTACATAACCCCCTGCAACCCACACCCCACCGTAGTCCACTCCCCTCAGGCCCCCCCCGTCCCCATCTTCGTGCATGTTTGCAGAACACATGCTTAAAGCAGGCTAACTTCCTGCCTATTATAAACCAGAAATCAATCAATGCAACTTTTTTATTTATATAGATATAATAATAGGCACCTAGGGCGCTTCACGCCACGCCACGTTCTCCCAAAACTTTAAAATTTTATTGTTGCTAAATTATTGACTCAACAATAATTCTGTTTTTATTAGTGGATTTTATGAAGAAAAAACATTTTCGAGAAAACTATTTTTTCCTGACCAACAGATACAGATAGAAAATGGACATACAATGGGATCTGACAACATTTTTAGAATAAATAGAAGACCTTTATGCAATCCTTCATATTGTTATAAGAAATAGTTTTACTAGTGGCTTGAAAATAATCTCATGAAGTGGGGTCTGTGTAGTGTGTAAACTGTTCTATGTTCATTGTATTATTAAAAATTATAATTTGAGGTTAACTGTCGTCTTCCTATTCCACAGTTTTATGGGTTCCACTGTATTAGAAGATAGACAGACAGACAGATAGACTTACTTTCACTGTTTTAACTGCAACAAATCTTGTTCCTTTTAGTCCACAGATATCATCTGCTTCTGCTTTCCATACCTTAGTATCAGTTTTATTATTATTATCATTATTATTATTACTATTATTATTATTATTATTATTATATTATTACTTTTATTACTTACCTTCCCAAAGTTTCCTTCTCCCAGTATAGTTTGAAGTCTAAGGTTTGCTCGAGGGAACTCCCAAATACCACCATCATCACTTTCTCTCTTAATAAAATGAGAAATTGAGAAATTCATGAAGAAACGAAGAAACTCATCCATATTTGCGGACACCCTACAACAAATGTTTGATATAATTCATGGTTTGACAAACATAAGACACCCTACCCTTGCAGACTCATCCATATTTGTGGACACCCTACCCTTGCAGACTCATCCATATTTGTGAACACCCTACCCTTGCAGACTCATCCATATTTGTGAACACTGTACCCTTGCAGACTCATCCATGTTTGCGAACACCCTACCCTTGCAGACTCATCCATGTTTGCAAACACCCTACCCTTGCAGACTCATCCTTATTTGTGAACACCCTACCCTTGCTGACTCATCCATATTTGTGAACACCCTACCCTTGCAGACTCATCCATGTTTGCGGACACCCTACCCTTGCAGACTCATCCATGTTTGTGGACACCCTACCCTTGCAGACTCATCCATATTTGTTTACACCCTACCCCTGCAGACTCATCCATATTTGTGAACACCCTACCCTTGCAGACTCCTGACTCATCCATGTTTGTGGACACCCTACCCTTGCAGACTCATCCATATTTGTGGACACCCTACCCTTGCAGACTCATCCATATTTTCGGACACCCTACCCTTGCAGACTCTTCCATATTTGTGGACACCCTACCCTTGCAGACTCATCCATATTTGTGGACATCCTACCCTTGCAGACTCATCCATATTTGAGGACACCCTACCCTTGCAGACTCATCCATATTTGTGGACACCCTACCCCTGCAGACTAATCCATATTTGTGGTCACCCTACCCTTGCAGACTCATCCATATTTGTGGACATCCTACCCTTGCAGACTCATCCATATTTGTGGACACCCTACCCTTGCAGACTCATCCATATTTGTGGTCACCCTACCCCTGCAGACTAATCCATATTTGTGGACACCCTACCCCTGCTGACTAATCCATATTTGTGGTCACCCTACCCTTGCAGACTCATCCATATTTGTGGACACCCTACCCCTGCAGACTCATTCATATTTGTGGACACCCTACCCTTGCAGACTCATCCATATTTGTGGACATCCTACCCTTGCAGACTCATCCATATTTGTGGACACCCTACCCTTGCAGACTAATCCATATTTGTGGACATCCTTCCCTTGCAGACTCATCCATATTTGTGGACATCCTACCCTTACAGACTCATCCATATTTGTGGACACCCTACCCTTGCAGACTCATCCATATTTGTGGACACCCTATTCTTAGTAGACTAAAACATATTTGTGGACACCCTATTAGTAGACTAAAACATATTTTTGGACACCCTATTCGTAGTAGACCAAAACATATTTGTGGACACCCTATTCTTAGTAGACTAAAACATATTTGTGGACACACTATTCTTAGTAGACTAAAACATATTTTTGGACACCGAATTAATCCTTGAAAACTCAAACATAAGCCTTTTTGTTGACACTCTGTAGTCTTGCAGAGTCAAAATTAGTAAATAAGATTAGAATAAAGATTACAGGATTAATAATTAAAACTGAGGTATTAGGTATCAACTTAGATGGGTAAATAGATAGATAGATAGATAGATAGATAAATGCAATGAAAGATATATAGATAGATGGATATAAAGAATGATAGATAGATAGATGATAGATAGATAGATGGATAGAAAGATAAATAGATAGATAGATAGATATATAGATAGATAGATAGAGAGATAGATAGATAGATAGATAGATAGATAGATAGATAGATAGATAGATAGATAGATAGATAGATAGATAGATAGATAGATAGATAGATAGATAGATAGATAGATAGATAGATAGATAGAAAGATAGATAGATAGAGAGATAGATAGATTGAGAGATAGGTAGATAGATTTTAAAAGAGATAGCGGGGTATTTAATTAAAGACTTGAACGAGTATATGAACCGGTAGCGTATACTAGTAGGGACTAGGGAACTATACTTTTCAATGAATATTCCGCCTTCATTTCTTTTTAATACTTTAGTATAAATGAGGGCTTGTCCGTCATAAATACTAAAGCCCTTTAAATTCCATTTTTGCTAAAAATAATTACATTCTTATTTTTTATTTAATTTAATTTTTTATCTGTATCTGTATCTGTATCTGTATATGTATCTTTATCACCCTCAACTAAGCTTTCGGTGTGTTCTGCAGTAATTTGCAGTACACTGACCGAAGATATAGTAGCAGTTAGTGGAGAGTGTTATCTATATCTGTATATGTATTTGAACATGTACATGTATATCTGAATCTGTATCTATATCTGTATCTGTATCTGTGTCTGTGTCTGTATTTATATCTGTATCTGTATCTGTATCTGTATCTGTATCTGTATCTGTATCAGTATCTGCAGTATCAGTATCTGTATCTGTATCTGTATCCGAATCTGTATCTGTATCTGTGTCTGTATCTGTATCTGTATTTGTATCTGTATCTTTATATGTATCTGTATCTGTATGGAGTATTCTAAGCTAGTATTGCCAAATTTAGAAAATTGAAAAAGCTAATTAAAATATTTTAATGTCATTTTCATTTCAAACAAATTCCAAATTTAATTTACATTTTTTGTAAAATCCATATATGTAATATAATTGAATCTTGTGTCCTGATGACATCATCAATGCATTGTATCTGTGTATCTGTGTATCTGTGTATCTGTGTAACTGTGTATCTGTGTATCTGTATATCTGTGTATCTGTATATCTGTGTAACTGTGTAACTGTGTATCTTTCTTCTGTGTATCTGTGTATCTGTATATCTGTGTATCTGTGTATCTGTGTATCTATGTATCTTGTTCCTGTGTATCTGTGTATCTGTGTATATGTGTATCTGTGTATCTGTGTAACTGTGTATCTGTGTATCTGTGTATCTGTATATCTGTGTATTTGTGTATCTGTGTATCTGTGTATCTGTGTATCTGTGTATGTGTATGTCTATATATCTATCTATGAAGCATCTGAATATGAATGGTTTTGAGAAGTATAATTTTATATCATTACTCACATCCAAATTGTTAGGAGTTACATTTAAAGATACATTTCAATGCCATGATTGCTGCCCACCCCCTCCCCCCCCTGGAAAATATTGCATTAATAACATGAAGTATCTAAAATAGGTTTTAAATGAGGTTTTACTTAAAGTATAAAGTATAAGATTGGAATAAATAATTCACTAGAATAATACTAATGTTGGTCGATCAAAAAAATGTTATCGAAAATTGAGCAACAAGGTCAGAATTGTGTCCTATTAACGACTTCAGTTTTGATAATACGCAAAGCAGTGCAAATAATGCATAGTGAACCTGGTTTTAAAGAAGGTCAATTTACAACGGTATTTAACCTTTTTTCTTTATCCATCATGTTGAAGATATTGTCGTTTTTGTAGCTTGAAAAGTGATAGATTCTTACAACTCCTCCGTTGTTTCTGTGTGAATAAATCCATAAGCCAGTTTATAGAGAACCCACAAAGTAAAAACCAAAATATTGAAAAAAAAACCTTTTCAGAAAGTTTTCTCATTCATTCCGAGCAGTGGAAGGTTAAAGGGTGCCGTGGTAAATCAGGCATGTCACTAGAAATCACCTCTACATGTGTCCCTTAAATCGATATTTGCTCAAGCTCATCACTATATGAAGTGGAGGGAAGAAGACTAATGAATCTATGAATGAATAGATGAATAATGTCCCTTTAGTAAAGCTTAGTAAACCTCAGTAAATCTTAGTAAACCATATTAAACTTTAGTAGACCTTAGTAAACCTTAGTAAACTTTAGTAAAGCTTAGTAAATCTTATTAAACCTTAGTAAACCTTAGTAAAGCTTAGTAAACTTTAGTATAGCTTAGTAAACCTTAGTAAACCATAGTAAACCTTGGTAAGCCTTAGTAAATCTTATTAAACCTTCGTAAATCTTAGTAAACCTTAGTAAACCTTAGTAAACCTTGGTAAGTCTTAGTAAATCTTAGTAAACCTTAGTAAACCTTAGTAAACCTTAGTGAGCCATAGCAAATCTTAGTAAACCTTAATAAACCTTAGTAGACCTTAGTGTACCTTAGTAAACCTTAGTAAACCTTAGTAATACTTAGTAAACCTTAGCAAACCATAGTAAACTTTAGTAAACCTTAATGAACTTTAGTAAACCTTAGTAAACCTTAGTAAACCTTGGTAAGCCTTAGTAAATCTTAGCAAACCTCAGTAAACCTTAGTAAAACTTAGTAAACCTTAGTAAACCTTAGTAAACCTTAGTAAACCTTGGTAAACTTTAGTAATACTTAGTAAACCTTAGCAAACCATAGTAAACTTTAGTAAACCTTAAAAAATCTTAGTAAACCTTATTAAACCTTAGTAAACCTTAGTAAACCTTAGTAAACATAACAATAGAAGATAGTTTAATATTTTCCCACAAACACACAGGAAGTAAAGATGTAACAATTCATATATATAGATAGATAGATTCATAGATAGCTAAATATATAGATAGATAGATAGTCAGACTTAAGGATAAAGATATAGGAAGATAGTCAAACAGATGAATTTATGGAAAGTAAGACACATGGATATTAGATTTTCGGATAGATGTATAGGCAGGCATAGGTAGATAGATTCATAGACAAGATAGATTGATAAATAGTTAGATAGATAAATAGCTGGATAGATAAATAGGTATTTGGTTAGATGTATAGGTAGGTAGATATAGATAAGAATAGAGTAGATAGATAAATAAATAGATGAAAAATATATAATGTTAGATAGATAAAAATATAGATAGATAGATAGATAGATAGATAGATAGATAGATAGATAGATAGATAGATAGATAGATAGAAAAGAAAGAAAGATAGATAGGAAGATAGATAGATAGAACAAATGTTATAAAATAATGATCCTTCCTTACAAGCCTAAAACCTTGAGTTACGAGGTAGCTAGTAGCTACAAATTACAGAAAAAGAGGGAATGAAGGCGGGTGGGGTAAATTAGAAGGATTGAAGGGGGAAGGAACTTGTCAAGGATATCTGAGGGAATTATGAGCAGCGGGGAGTCCCTGATCTAGTTAAATAAATAGCAAAATAAACACTTAAAGTGACTGTTCATTATTTAGTGTTAAATCCTTGGGATCATGTTTCAACATCTTGAATTGATACAACAAACTTGGGGGTAAGTGAAAATAAGGTGGGGGGCTCCAAGGAACCATATTTAAACTATTATAATCCAGATTGCATGCTAAAGTTTTAATTATTAAATTTCTAAGTTTCAAAATTTGAAATATATTCATCATTAAGGTTCATTATAAGGCGTATATTACGCAATATTAATCCAAATTGCGTCTGTATATTGATTATTATTTTCAACAACATGGTACTGTCCAGTGCTTCTTCCCCCCAAATATATAAAACTATCTGGCATCAAAATATCAGCTCTGGAAAGTGTCAAAATCAAATAAAAAAATATAGAAATAACTGTAACTATGTAATATACACAATTAGCTCTTTTATTCTGAGCAGAAGTTTTGGCGCAACCAGAGTTTTCTTATGGAGAGTGTGATATGCAAAAATCAAATGAGTGTGTTTTTAATTTATTTTCGCATATAAATTTCATTTGCAAAAATAATTTGATGGGGGAAGAAGATGGAGCTTCACAATTCCAATATGTTTGCTTTAAAATAAATGCCCCTGATAAAAATATGAAACATTGGACATCTTTTATATTTTCTCACGCTGCTCTGTTGGTTAATTACCGTGCTTGGCTTGTACGTGTCAAAGTACCGCGCGCAGAGGATTAAGCGCACAGTTCTAATTACTACTGCGCGCGTAAGCTGTATTCTAGGTGTTGATGACAAGGTTAAGCCGTCCCAAGACAAGGTTTTTTATGAGAACGAAGCTGACCTAGTTGAAAACTAATACATGTAAGGTTAAACTCATTCACATAGGTAAATACTTCAGGTTTTAATTGATAATTAGAGACCGAATCTAATAAATCGGAGAGGTCGCTAAACTATATCTTAAACCGTAAATGTCCCAATCTAGTTTAACTACTAATATATTTATTGCAAGATTATCAGGTAGTTTTAATTGAAATATAAGCAAATCAAAAATATCAGTTGTAGAGAAACACCCTGTATCTACAGCTGGTTCAAATCCTAAATCAGCGATTTAAATCCTTATGAATCTTTAACTTTGAATCGATGATTTAATATTTGAACCAATGCGGCAAGTGATTCAGCGAGCTAGCTCAAATTCATTAAGTTCGGTCTCAGTTTAACTCATCTCTCATTGGATAATCTCTTAATTTTTACCAATTATTATTAATTCAGCAAGGAGAGAATAAGATTAACTAATTCCGTCACTTTCAAAAGTTTCCAAGTAAGTGTTTGTGAAGCATACCTTTTGAATATTCTCCGGCGCCTCCAGGATGGTTTCAAAGTTGTGAGACGGATAGGCAGGAGGCATAGAGGGGTAGGCAGGAGGTAGGGACGGGTAGTGAGGAGGGAGGGACGGGTAGGATCGTCCACCGATATTTAGACTATCGTCCTCGGTGATGGGACGATTCAGACCTGTTTCAGAGCTGGCCTCAGACCCAGAAAGTCCCTGAAAAAAAGTATTATTATTTTCCTTGTAATAATTTAAAACACGTTCAAGAGTTTATCTTTTAGAAAGTTGTTATTAAAAAAAACAAAAAAGGTTTATAATTTCATTTTATTCAGTTTTAATCCCTTCAGATTTTAAGAAAATCCGCAAGTTTCTTTTCAACGTACACAACTCTGGGTTTACCATTATAACAGTTAAAATCCCCTATTTCTAACAAAAAAATATTTATGTTTTTTTAGAATCTATTTGTTATTGAATTTCTGCTGACTCATTATAATTATCAGTGCATGTTAACCAAAACCAAGATTTCAATAGAAAAATATTTTTTCCCGAATATCATCATTTAATTGTGAAATAACCTTGACGCGGGGGATATTTATTATTGATTTGAATCCGCTACTGATAAAGGTTGTTACGAAAATTCGACCAGCAGGTAAAGATTTGTCATATAGACATAAGACAAGACCATTTAGTGGTTTTAGACACTAAGTTAGCACAAAATTATTGACGAAAAACACGCTTTTTGCTGTAATTTTACTGGAGAAGTTATTTCGAGAGTATATTTTACCCTCGCCACCCTTTTCTGTCCTATCCTTTGTAGAAGAAATTTAAAAAGTGCGAAGTAATAAATTTTCTCATTGTTACCTCCTGTGAATTCTACAGTGAAAGGGTAAATTAATAAATAGACCAGAGATAGAGAATTATAATAATTGATAGAATCCAGAACTGTTAAATACTAAGCTACGCCAAATATAATTTCCCTATTCTTTAACCAGTTCTATTATACGTTTCTCATTGACTGAATATTAAAATTTTAAGCCTTAGATAAAAAGCAATACAGATATAACACTAGATTTCGTCTTTTCAAGATTTAATGGGTTTTCGTTCACAATAACCTTGAGGCAGAAGCTCAAAGGAGTTACGGAGAACAGACTCTCTCTATCTGTGTCTAGTAATTTAACGCGTCATTCACGTTTTTTCTTGTCTCAAGGTTATTGTGAACGTTTTCCCCTAAATCTTGAAAAGGTGACATCTCGTGTTCTATCTGTATTGTTATTAATCTATGTTTTAAGCAATGAGAGCGCCTGAAAAGAAATAAATACTTGCTTCAAACTCTAATTTTAAATTCACCATTTTGTTCAGTCAGATGGCTTAAGCCATTTATAAATCTAACAGAATTCATGGTTTAAAATAATAAAGGTCTACGACATCAGGATGCAAAAATATAAGGATTAGAAAATTAGATTTTAGGCAAGTGTTCAGCTCCTTGTAATAATTCAACGATTTAAACTTCCAAATTCAAAAGTTTTGAAAAAGTTTAGATAGACCTTAGCTGCAAGGATAAGCTTTTTTACAATCAAAAGTTTCCAACGTAAATTGAGTTTTAGATTTTTATTTATTGATTTTACACGCTCCAATCAAGCGCCAAGGAAACTCTTTAATTTATGAATTTTCCGTTTTTAAGAAAAAAGTTTCATCTAGATACTTTTTAAAAAGCAGATTTGATTTTTGAATAATGTTATTTTAACCCAACCCATGCTCTTTAGAATAAGTTGACTGAATTATATTTTACTTATCAAACAAAGACATATTGAGACATATTTTAATGTGATTTATGAGATATTATTAAAATATATTTGGTTCATTTTATCAATTAATTGGATTTAATTTGTGAATTAAAATTTAAGATATGTTCTAAAATTCAAACAATACTTATTGTTACAATTGGAACCAAGTTTATTTATTAGATCAAAGTAGTTGAACTACGTTAGAGACGTTGTACAAACACTTGTTTGTGCTCCGGTTCATGTTAAAATGAAGAAAATCCTGTCTCATATAAGTGGTTGAAGTAATAATCCTGTTTGTGTGTTTGTTTGCTTGCATATCTCATGAACCCCTGGACCGATTTGCCTCAAATTTGTATTGGGGAACTCGAAACTGTTCTTATTTTTGTTTAAAAGTTCTAAGTTGAGTAGGTTTATTTAAGTATAAAGAACTAGCTATTTGTTATTCTTTAAACAAATATATCTGAACAAGGTTCTCGTAGAATTAATTCCAAACCAAGTAAATCATTAAAGGTAGATGAATTATGCAGACAAATTTTTCTTTTACCAGCAATTAATTTTGTGGTGAAAAAGAAAATAAGGAAGAGGAAGGAAAAAAACACATTTCATTTAATGATGATTTAAATACAGAAAAGAACAGAAAGGCACACAGAATTTGAATTTATAAAAAAAGGAAGATTTAATTATAAATGTAGAAATCAAGATAAACAGATAGATAGATAAATAGATAAATATATAGATAGATAGATAGATAGATAGATAGATACTCTCATCTATAATGATTGCCCTTATATCAATCAGGCCTAGGCAGTAAGTCAGGCATATATCCAGGCTTGTGCATATTGTAATATTTTTGTTCTTAAAATATTCTAGATCTAATGAACGTTAAATTTGTTCTCTAAAATCAACCAAAAAAAGTGTTTGTTAAGCAAATTAGCCACATTTCAATGCATTTTTAATATTTCAAAACTGACCATTATTTTGAAAACACAGTAAATAGATTTTATAAACAGTAACGACACATTGTATGTATATCCATTGCATTCCCTAATATAAATTTGAGACAAATCGGTCCAAGAGTTGATTAGTCATGATGGGACAAATAAACAGACAAACCGAGATTAATACACAGTCATAACCGGAAAACAATGGAATAGAAAGACGACATTAAAGCAAAACTTAAGCCTATTTGATGTAATTAAAAAGCAAAAGGTTTTATTAGACACTTACTATTACTATTTCAGTGAAATGAGTCTGTTTACACTCTACTATAGCTGTCTCTCATATTCGTTGAACTTTTTAAATTTATACCTTGATTCTAAAAGTCGTCTTCCTGTGCAAAATTGTCTGGTTATCACTGTACCATTAGAGAGAAGGGAGGTTGAAAAAAAGATTTATGAACGCAATGTATTTGCAGGCGTACGCAGTTTGCGTAAAGAATTACTTGCGATTTGCGTATGATGGTAGCGCGTGGAAGGCTTAACAAGATGTTTTTCATGCATTTCAAAAAGCAGAAGAATTGTGGTCATTTTATATCCTTAAAACCAAGAGTTTTCGCAAACACTCATTTTTTTCTCATTTATATGAGCTAGGCCAGTTTAATGTGCCCATTTGTGTTTATAACATCATTTTTGTGAGCATTTTTAACATGCTTTTTGAGGGCTTTCTGGAGGTTATAGAAAGCTGAAAGTAGATCATTCCGAATTTTCAAATAAAATTTAAACTTAAAGTTGTCTTTGATATAAGAAGTACTTCCAAGAGTTGTTAAAAAAATCTACAAATTCTAATTTATAAAAAATAAACTTGAACGTTTAGAAACAGTTAGAAAAGGCTGTCAACCAGTTATTTGGTCACTCTGTATATATATATTATATCAAGTTTAAATCAGCATTCCAGTTCGGTTGACAGACTTGATCTTCAATAGTTTCATTCCCATTGTTCAATTCTACTCTTAGGCAACAATAAAGTGGCACAGCATTTCAAATCTTGAAAAATCTAAAACTTGTATTTGAATGCTAAAATTCTTTCTAAAATTATGTTAATTATATAATTGTTCTAATTTATCTGCAAGCCTTTTATTTTTCTACATTTGAAGATAATAATTAAGAAAATGTTGCGGATTTCTGTTTTAATTATCAGTGAATTTTCACGATTAAAAAAATTAAGAATTGTTAAAAGCGACATTTTGGCCATTTTGATGTCAAGAGTCATTCAAGAGTAAACAAACAAGTCAAATTTTAATTATTTAGATCCATTTAGGAGAAATTTAAGAATTTATTTAATTGACATCCAATATTGTTTGCAAAATGTACAATGAAAAAATTTAAGACAAATCGAATTCATGCTTTAAAATTTTTATTTTATTTATTTTGATATTTAGATAAATAGATAGATTAGATAGATAGATAGACAGAAAGATAGATAGATAGATAGACAGAAAGATAGATAGATAGATATATAGATAAGAATGGGGATCTATTGGTTTGAGTATTGACGTTATAAAATAGAGATTGTATCTATGATTGAATACTCTCTCAAGCTGCTTACAATGCACACAGTAAGTCCCGAAATATCTGATGTTGCCAATTATTTCCTCTTAGAATAAATTTTAATTTTGTATGGCCGGGTTTATGTAATTTCAAATGCCATTTAATACATGAGCAATTGGGTGACGAATTCGGGAAAATTGAATAGGTCGGGGAAATAGTTTTTATGAGGTCTATTTTGTTACAAACTTCTTACTAACTTGGTTTTACTTATTTTTGGCCCTTACCAAAATACATATACATTTTAGAGATATAACCAGGGGGGGATGATAGTTCTCTACCTGTGTACTCAGTGAGCTGTACTGTACACTTACAACTGTTTACTAATAATGATATACTATAAGGTTAGGCCAGAATCTCTTTATAATAAACAAATATGAAGTACGCTCTCGGTATAGTTTATGGCCTATAAAATTAGTAAAGGATTAACGTACATCATCACTGTATACACTATAACCTCGTCAATTAGCGTACATAATCACTCTATACACGATAACCTCGTTGGATATAACACGGTTTTTCCTATGTAGCTTCAGTATTTGGCAAAATTCTGATCGATTTTTGCATAGTAGCGTTTATTTTGGTAAAATGTGAATTAAAAATAAAAAATCTTTTTTTTATCTTCATAAAAAGCTAAATTACTAAAGATTAAATTCTTGTTAAAATCATGCGAAGATTGCGTACACGTATTGATGGGTTTAATATAGCGTGATTATATCGGTTAAATAGATTGGAAATAATTGTAAAGATTAAATCATTTTAAAACATGACACTTATTATACAGACCTTAGTTTTGTATCATTAGGCTATTTTACCTATATATTATGTTTATTGTAGATTGTATTTTTAAACTTGAAAATGTTATCCTTTGTTCTTAAAAAACATATTGAATAAAAATAGGTTATATAAGTCCCATGCCAACCCCCCCCCCCCAAAAAAAAAAAGAAGAAAAAATGTTGTTTTGATGTTTTTCAAATATTTTTTCGTTTAAATAACGAAAAGATTCGCGATCTTGAAATTGCTAAAGTCTTACCTTTCTTCTTAAAGTTGCCCTGGCAAACCAAGCAAAAAGACCAGCGATCGGAATAATCGCGATTACAGCAACCACATAAATCGTTGTATCAGTGATATCATCGATAACCTCCTGAAAAAAATTCAAAGTATTTATAATGCTAGCTTCAATAGTCATTAGTAAAATAGTGAAATTTCGAACGTTTACACCATCATGTTGCAAAGATATAGGAAATAGAAAATTAGCGTCTGCTGTGAATAATCAATTCCTTTTATTTGAAAAATATTTAAATGGTTAAAAATATGTGAAGGTGTAATGCGTGTAAATGTCAAAAAAAAACCTTGACCATGGAATAGTTTAACGAATTTTAGGAATCTAAAAATCCGATTTTATGTCATTAATTCAATATTTTAAACATTTTACCCCCAAAAAGAATTTAAGAATCAAGACTGAGGAATTATATTTGATAATTGACAAATTCCAAAATGTCACGAAAAATGTTCCTCAAAAGGACATATATAAGATACCAGAGAAAGATAAGATGTATCTATTATTAAGGAAGGCCATGTCTATACACCCCCCCCCCCTCCAATCCCGTTGCTTTTGGTCATCAATATTTTAGGAGGTATACCAATAAAATCAAAAGTCATACTTTTTACATAAACATAGAACTTTTCTTTTCAGAATTTCGGAATCAAGCATAGATCTCAATCTATATTCAGATTAACGGATTGATTTAATTCCAAATTCAGGAACGAAGAGCGGAACTTCTGCGTGCATATTGTAAATCTTAAATGCTTGATATCGATATCCAATGTGGACACTTTTAAATTTAAGAATCTGTGCTTGATCCCTCACTATAGTTTCAGTAAAAGTAAATATTTCCATTTACTGATAGCGCCGATTGAAGGATTCATAACTCTGATTGGATAATGAGATAGATAGAAAGATAGATGTTACCTCCATACTATTTCTATTGTTTTAGAATAGACAACAAGCACATGACTGAACCCTGATTGGATCAGGTGCTAATGGACTTGGCATACAGGAGTGCCCTTAGCTAAAGTTGTCCCTTTAAATTAATCCGTATATCTGCATAGGATAGAGATCAATGCTTGATCCCAAAATTCACAAGACAAAGTTTTGACTTTATATCAACCTTTTTATCAACCTTTATATCAACCTTTATATCAACCTTTATATCAACCTTTATATCAAACTTTATATCAACCTTAATATCAACCTTTATATCAACCTTTATATCAACCTTTATATCAACCTTTTTATCTTAAGAACGTTAAAATAACTAAAGGTTAAAGTTATATACCAATATTAAGGTTTATTACCATTACACAAGTAGAAAAACTGACCTTATTTTTCACATCTTTGTCAGCCATGGTTTCGTCCAAACTTGTCACATTCCTGGGGTTCAAATTTTCAAACCAAGTAAAACTGGATTTTAAAACCTAAATTTAAGAATTGAGCTGGGTGCTGATGTGCGAAACATTAAACACTGCAAAGTATGTCGTGTAGCATATATGGTTCGAATTGTGTCATATATGGTTCGAATCGTGGCATATAAGTCACAATAAAAGCAAACCTCTGTTTAAACTACAAACCAATTGAACAGTTGTAAACATTCAGACCAAGAAAAATGTTGTTAATTTTCGAAGTTGTAATTATTTTTTTCCCCACAGGGGAAATTAAGTTATTTCAATATTACAAACTGAAGCAAAAATGTATAATGCAGGAAGCAAGGAGAAATGCATGTTCCCAGTTAAATGACTGAATTATTCCCTTCTAGTCCTGTCTAAAGTCTCATCTAGTCCTGTCTAAAGTCTCATCTAGTCCTCTCTAAAGTCTCGCCCCCTCTGTGGATAACCCTGAACTTTTTTAGTTAAAAGGTAAAACAAAGACGACTTTCATGGTAGGTGAAAAATTAACTTTTTCATCCCGCTATTAAAATTTCAAACTTCATACCTAATATTTCTCGTTGTAGGGTGATAAATTTACTTTATCACCCTACAATCGGTTGATAAAGTAACTTTATCGACCTGCTATTAAATGAGTTGAGTAAAATTTAATAAAGCTAATTATGTTATTGTAATGCGTGGGAAAAAGTGTTTGCTGTGATTTTTACTTTGTAATAGTATTTTCACATCTCGGTTCGGTGTAAAAATACTTTCATTTTGATCTTAAACAAACAAACTTCAGTGACCCTAATGTCAAGTGTATATACATACATATACGGACATGAAGAAACACAATTTGTTAGATTAAGTTCTGAAGATGAAAACATACAATATTGGCTGGTTGCCAGGTTTTAGGCTCTTCCGACATGATTTTTAAATTAAAAAACTAGCATCATGATTATCAGCATACAGATACATACATCCAGGGGGATTCATTAAACACAGGAGTTAAAGAGACTGTAGCGTAATTTCAAGTGACCCTCCATTTAAAGGGAGTAAACCCTATTCATAACGGTATCTTTAAGATCTTTATCTGATCAATGAAGAATTTACCTGTAAAAGTGTTAAAATTTCACCCTTCTTTCTCTTTCTTGCAAGAATCCGCAAATTAATTCTAAACCCACAATTGAAGAAAGTAACTTTTCAGCGAGAAAAAAGTAGTGTTGTCTTATTAATCTAAACAAAAGTTAAAGGATGTCTGTGAATCGGACATGCCCTTCTAGAAATGAATGGTCACCTAAAATTACGTCTACAGACCCTTTTAAAAGAATTAAAACTTGACATTTTCTTTTTGAAAGATTCTTTTAACGTCTTAACAGCTGAACCCAATATTTGCGTGGGGCCTTGTATTGCCTGTATACTGTTTTATTACCGAGGAAAGGGCAGGGGGGCAGCTGGGGGCCGGTGGGAGCTGGGTTTAAAGGTTCTAGGACGCAAAACTACAGGACACTACTAATTTACACATTTTCGACCCAAAATTGAATTTAACCCGTCGTATATTTGAAGTTTTTAAATACTAAGTATATTATACTCATTAGGGTATGTCTGCATAGCATTACGTGGGGGTTAAAAATATGAAAAAAGGATTGCCATGTTCCATTTGATTGTAGGAAGAACCATAAGCCATTTGTAAACATTATGTAAAATGAAAATATGATTTGTTGAAAATTCTAATATCCTAAGTTGAGTCGGCTGAGTGAGATCGTCGAATAATCTTGTCTCCTTTGAAAATATTTGATTAAAACATCAATGTTAAAATACAGAACATCTATAGTTACAGTGAATCCCAGATATATGAATACATAGCAAGAGTTTTTTATAATGTCGTATTTTCAACATATTTAAGATCAAATGCCGCGGAAAAAAAAGAGTTTAATATATCATTTGCTGTCCTTTATATTTCGTATTAGTTTCTTAAGAAGCATTAAAAAAATATATATCTCTCAACAATGATATTTGGATATATTTTCATAAATCATATTGAACCCTTTGAAGTTCCGAACATGTGAGCAGCTTTCTTTATGTCCAGACCAATGATGAAGCAAAACAGCTCTCATAAACTTTAGAATAAATGTAAAGACGACATTTCATGTGCTCTTTCTATGTGTTTGTGTATGGGAGATTGGCTAAACTCTTTTCATTAATTGTAAGATTAGATTAAATTCAAATATTTTAATTCCTTGGGTTCAATGTTGGACATCGGCATTTGTATAAATTCGGTTCTGTTTCTTGTTCTATAAGTGTTTGAGGTGTAAATTTGAGTTTTGTCAAGATTTGGTTCAGTTGTTCCAATGTCCTTGTATAGCATGGTTGATGTTGACATTGTTGTTGTTGTGGATGAATGTGTAGTTGAGCGCGGAGGAGGTGTTGTTGATCGTTGTGGTTTCGTAGAGTGCTCTTGCGCGGTTTTCTCAGCTTTTGCCGCGTTTTTCTCCGCCTCATTTGGCGGATTTTCAAGGGTGGGCGGTTGCGCGGTTTTTGTTATTGTTTGGTTTGGATTTGGTTTGGGTGTAGTCTTTTCGGCATGAGAATCTTCGTCCCTCATTATCCCATCAATATTTATGATCATTTCCTGGTTCTCCTTCTTCTCCTCCTCCGCCATCTTTCTTTCGTCGTCTTCTTCTTGTCGCTTAAGCTTGAGTCCTTCAGATATGGCGGCGTTTAAACGAGCCAACTTATCCTACACAGATAGAGTCTCATCAAATATAATTTCAAGCCATCTAACCCTCTAGCTTATTGATAGTCAGGACACGTGAAGTGATTACTGCATGTTTTATAGGCAGAAAATACTTCTTCCCGCGACTACCAACATAAAAACCCTATATTACTCTGCACCCTATATTGACTGCACGTCATGTATCCAGGCCTTAAAATATTCAAATAAAAGGTTGAAATAAAGAAACCGAGCCATTATTGAAATCTCACAAAAATTAGATTTTTCTAGAATTAGAACCTTTTGCGGTGTTTAGCAGGATATTTTCAACCCAAAACCAAACTTGATTTTGAAGGTTAGGCTTTAACAGGGGCTTGCTTAGTTTAATTGAAAATGCGGGAATTGCTACTAAAAATAAAAATTCGAAGTCCTGATATCTGCCAAATATAAAACTGGAATTTTTAAATTAAAAATAGCGTCCGGAAGAATCGGAACACCATTCGTTAAACACCCGGTTTATAATGCCCCTGCTATTCTCTTTGTAATGCGCTTCAGATGCCAATTTGGAGGAGACACTCTTGGTTCCCAGAATGCAAGTAACTTAGCACAAAGACATGGTTTGCAAAAACCTTCCGGCTTGTAAAACCATGTTGAAAAATTACTTGGTCTTTCTTGGTTGGTCGTAAATAGAAAATTTGACAAGGGGCCCTTGAGTGGACAACAATGGGCCCTGGAGTGGACAACGAGGGGCCCTGGAGTGGACAACGAGGGGCCGTGAAAAACTATATATTTATAAATGTTGGCCCTGTACAACTGTATATGGTTGACCCAGCAAAACTATATATTGTTTTCCAGGGGGCCCTTGACAACTATTTTTTGTTTACCAGGGGGTCCTAGACAAATATATATTGTTTACCAGGGGGCCCTAGACAACTATATATTGTTTACCAGGGGGCCCTAGACAACTATATATTGTTTACTAGGGGGCCCTAGACAACTATATATTGTTTACCAGGGGGCCCTAGACAACTATATATTGTTTACCAGGGGGCCCTAGACAATTATATAATGTTGACCAGGGGCCCCTGGACAACTGTATCTTGTTGATTAGGAAGCCCTGGTCAACTATATATGTTTTACTAGGGGGCCCTGGCCAACTATATTATTGTTTTGCTTATATGGGTTGGGAGGATATGGAGTTTGATTGTACATGAATACACTTGAATTATTGTCATGGGGAGGGGGAAGGGAAAGGGGGAGGAAATAGGGAATATGGGGGAAATATGGAGGGAAAGAGGAGAAATGGGAAGGGGAGGGAATAGGTGTAGAGAAGAAGGGGAGATGGGGAGGCAATGACAATTTATCTTTCAATTATATAGAATTGTTTAGTTTAATTTGAGTGGTTTTCAATTCAACAGTTTTTTTTTGTGAGACTTTCCTGAATATATGAAACATCTGGTATTTTGACCCCTGGTCCAGGTTTAGTTCCAGCGAGGAAGATGTTTAGCCGGTTGACTGGCCTCCCAGTATCCTCGCCTGACCGAACATCCTCGACTCGATCTATTAAGCGAGCAAAGGTCAACTTGTAAATCTTAGTTTAGGACGAATATTTCGTGTGCTGTTTGAAAATCATTGTAAGTTGGGAAAATAGAGAAAATTTTCATTTTAAAAAAGTTTGTAAATTGTTTTTTGACACAGGCTTCACCTTGAAACATGTCAGTTGAGAAATTACTTGAAGTAAATAATTAGCGGTATTTATTTGGCACCTTACTTTTGGCTCTTAAAATAATAATCATAAAATTCTCTGGAATTTCTAAAATATGGTCTGCCTTTTTGTGCTTTTAAAGTTATTTTTTCCAGATTTCAATTTATTAATTAAAACCCAAACTGTCTAAACCTAAACAGAACTTCAACATATATTTTTGGTAATATTAAAAGCACAGAAAAGGTTGCCACATTTTGGTCTTTTTGTGATTTTATGTAAAATTTTTGCTTTGAATTTTGTTGACAAATAAATGCAGGAAATTATTTCAAAGTAAAAAAAGGGCTTTCAAATCACATTTCAACTTTTATATTTGGTGGGACAACCTTTACCTTTGCGGCCATTTTTTATTTTCATACTAATGTTTAAAAAACTTAAATTTTGAATCAATAATGATAACTTTGTTAATCAAAAAAAGAAAACATAAAAAAATTTCAAGAAACACCATATTTGGCAGGAACTGGTAGAGACCACACGAATTTGATGAGAAATGATTCCACGGCCATGTTTAGTTTTTAAACTTGATCTCCTGGAGAGTAAACACGTTTACTAATTTAGATAAAAGATAGATATCAAATTTGGTGGAGGGAGGGGGTAGGGGGCCTGCTGGGCAGCAGAATAAATTAAGATGTGGATATCGATATTGAATTAGAAAAAATATGTAAATAAAATGATAATTTTGGAAAAAATAAATAAAAAATATATTTTTGAACTTTACAAATTGATGCTTTGTTTTCCTTGAAATATAGGTTTAAATGGCGGAGATCTTGTTGATGAAACAGAATTGAAACTTGGAGAAATTCCGGAGTTTAACAGAGCAATTCTTGCAGCCCTCACCCTTTCAAGTCTTTCCTGTTCAGCGTCTTTCTCCTGCTTTTGCTCCTGTTCAGCAATTTTTTCCTGTTTTCTTTCCTGTTCAACACGTTGCTCATGAGTTACATACTTACCCGCGATGCGAGTTGGTTCTGGTTTAGATTCTTCCAGAACCGGTTTTTGCGATTGATTCAAAATGGCGGCTGAATCATTTCTGGAAACTTCTTTTGTCTCGAGGCCTTGTTCAGATTTCTGAGAAAACCAAGGATATTCGTGACTTGGTCGCTTTGGATTATTTCATTGTTTAAAATTGTTTGGTTTTGACTATTTCAAATAAATTGGACACATTAGAGTAACAAATGATAAAATACAACTGATTAGTTTACATTTTATCATTGTAAAATTGATTATTTTAAATATCAATTGTAAACTTATCTTGACTTTAACTTGCTTTGACTTAATCTAAACCAATCCTGTAATTGATATATCCATAGATATCAGACCATCTGATATATGCATGGATAAATGGCATAATCTAAACCAATCATGTATTTGATATATCCATAGATATCAGACCATCTAAACCATCTGATATATGCATGGAGAAATGGCATAATCTAAACCAATCATGTATTTGATAAATCCATAGATATCAGACCATCTAAACCATCTGATATATGTATGGATAAATGGCATAATCTAAACCAATCATGTATATAATTTATCAATGCATTAGACAAATAAAAACCAATCCTATTCATGATATATCCATGGATAAATTATATAATCTTAAACTATCCTTTTTTTTACTAAATCTATGGATGAAGGACACCATCTTTGCCAAGATCGATCTATATTAGGAGATACCTCCATACCTTCAAAACTCATAAGAGGTTCATTTTTACTTCCCCCCCCCATACCGAACTCCCTACCCTCTCTTTCCGGATAACTCCCCCCCCCGTTTTCTCCACCCTCGCATCTCGTAAAATTAAATTTCCCCGCTTGTTAGACAGGGCGTAACATATTTAAGAAACGCCTCCACATACACTATGTCCCGCCCCTGCACGTAGATCCAACGGAAGGAGGCGTTTCCGCTGTTAGTGGTTGCAAAAGGAAACTTATTTCTTTTAAACGTATCCTTACAGTGTTGGGATTCATGAAACTGTGGAATAGGAAGACGACATTCGAGAAATTTTTGTGTATTCGTTGTTTTACTGCAGCAGCTCAAAATCAAAATTAAAAGAAATGGGTCTGTGTTTACTGCGCAGTTGCTGTGTTTAATGTTTAATGTTTATTTGACTATTTAAAATCATAACTAATCATTCTAGCAATCTTTCTATTCCACAGTTTTGTAGGTCACACTAAACTTTTCATTTCAAACTGAAAATAAAGGTAGATTTTTAGTAATGATTTCTTTGCTTTATTCTATTAGTTATTATAATTTGAGAGTTAGAATTATCTTTTCTTACAACTTAAATTGTAATCCCCCCCCCTCNATTATTATTATTATTATTATTATTATTATTATTATTATTATTATTATTATTATTATTATTATTATTATTATTATTATTATTATTATTATTATTATTATTATTATTATTATTATTATTATTATTATTATTATTATTATTATTATTATTATTATTATTATTATTATTATTATTATTATTATTATTTTTATTATTATTATCATTATAATTATTGTTATTGTTATTATTATCACGTTTAATTCTACCTGGAGGTTGATTCAGGTTGGCTTGTCTCTGTAGTTGTTGTTGTTGTTGTTGTAGTTGCTGTTCTTGTTGTTGTTGTTGTTGTAGTTGTTTCCTCAACTGTATTGTTTTTTGTTGTAGTGCTTAAAGTAGTTGTGGTTAATTTAGGTGATGTTGATTTAAAAGTTGTAGAAGGGGTTGCTTTGGTTGTAGTTTCGTTTTCTCTTGATGTTGTTGTAGTTGTTGCAGTTGTTGTGGTTGTGGATGTAGTTTCATCTATCTTATCTGTTGTTGATTTTATTGTTGTTGTTGTTGGTTGGACACCTCGAACAATATCTTTATAATCCTTCATGAGTCCTGATAGTTGAATTATTTCTGTTGTCGACTTCTCGGTCGAAAATTCTGTTGACGCTGTTGATGTCGACGAAAATGATGTTGAGGATGCTTGAGAGGTTGTCGACGGGCGAGTAGAGGTCGATGAAGTCATTGTCGAAGTTGTCTCCTGATAAACATTTGTGTCAAAATATTGTTGGATTGTTTATGTCAAGAATAGCTGTGATCTACCTGTATGGCTGCGTTGTGAGTATTGTTCTGATTCATATCTCTCCCATCATCAGGACTAGAGGTCACACCACCATCTTCTAGATCCGACACAGGGGTGTCAATACCATCTTCAGGGGTCACAATATCACTTGTAGTGTTATTGGGGCGTCTGAAATCAAGAAAGATATATTTACAAGATAAATTTAATGACATGAAAAAATAAACTATTTCGTACCTTATTTTAAAAGATCGCATTCGGTCTCTTTTCGCCCCTCTCTCTTCCCCTTCTCCGTCGTTTAACCCTGATTTCTCCTCTTCCTTCCGGTTCGGCAGGTGTGTTGTAACCTTTGGAGTATTACCCAAATGAGAACGAAGCCTCACTCGCCCTCGTTTTTCTACACTAGAACTCCGCTGCGGCGGAACAGCGGTTGTCCGTTTAATCCAAATCCGCGAACGGTCCTCCGACTGTTTTGGCGTTGCGGTTGAAATCAACCGGATCTTGGAACCACGGGATAAATCCGCAATAACTGAGTCTTCGGGGGACAGGTCCTCGTTATCCTTGGTGACGGACTCGTCAAGGTCGTTGTTTGACATGTCCTTGGTCTTGTTCCCAATGCTTGTCTCCGATGTAACGGAGGAGATGGAGGCGCTGAAGTTTCGTTTTCGGATATTCGACGGTTTGATGATTTCCTCCAAAGCCTCAAACTGAAATAAAATAAAAGTTAAGAATTTAATAATTATTATAATTTTATTAACTATAAGGATTAAAATTCTTCAATTTCAAAGTAAAATTAAGCATTAAATTTAGAACGCGCTGTAGTTACAATTTCTGTTAGGTTTCCAATGAAATATATTTACTCAATGTTAGCGTTTCTCTTCGCGCAATTATTAAACTAACCATTTCAAACTCTTTATTTCGATCATATATATAGAAATTTCAGCTTGGGGAAAACACAAATGATACAAATTCACATTTTACAGAAACGTACAATAAGATTAATTGATAACTCAAAAGCCACATCTCATAGTGATCCTCTTTTCCTTTAGTATAAGATTCTAAAGATCAATGATCTAGTAGACTTTAACCAAGCTATATTTATGTATAAGTATACAAATAAACTTCTTCCTACATCTTTTGAAAACATTTTTAAAAAGCTTGGAAACTTTGAAAGATCAACTTGACATTCTCGATATGAGCTCAGTCATTACAGAAATTACCATCAAGCCCTCTTCTTAAATAGAAGCAACTTTCTAAGTATATTTAAAAATAGACTAATAAATTCTCTTTTTGAAAGTAACATTACAATGTGTTTTAAACCGAATTGCTATTCATGTAAAACTAATTAGATATGTTTTGATATGCTTTAATTTTTTGTTGTGTACATGTCAGAAAATTATTTTAAACTCTAGTTATTCGAATTAATATATAAACTATTTTGCATAAGATAAAAATATTTTTTTATTAATATTGAAATTATGTGGCAAAAAAATCAAAACAGCCAAGAGCTATGGACAATATATTTTCCACCTAATTGCTTTATACTTATACTCAAAATCATCAATTTGTAATTGTAAACTCGTTCTGTATACGCAGATGTATTTTAGCATTAAACTTTATCTATCTATCTATCAAATTTGTAAAATTTCGTTTTATCAATTTGTTTTACATTTTATAAATGTTCTTAACTCTAAGTTTGAAAACCAGGATATATGCACAACATACGCATTGATGGAGTAGGTATACGTAAATAGTTGACGCACCCCGAGGTTTAATTGAGGAACTTGGGGGTTAGCATGTAGTATATAATAATATTTAATGTTTACAAGAAATTTGAATAATATTTTCGGGCACNCTTGGAGTGTTCAAAAAAAGTTACAATCAGAAATTAAAATCAAGCTTTAAGTCAATATCGCTCAAAACAATACGTTTTTGACTAATAAAATCCCTGTCAAGTGATAAAAATCTTGATTATTTTTTTTGGGCCACCCTGTTTAACCCTCGGTATAACATGCCAATTTAGGGTTCTGCTTGCATTAACCTAAGTTTAGACAGTAAGGCCTAAATTAGCCAGGCCTGAATTTCGTGTATGCAACCTGCTCCTACATGTATATATATTTATGAGGTATAAAGTTGAAAACCCCTTTTCCTTGGTATTTAAACAGGAAATTAACATTTCATTTCAAATGGTCCTTCCATATTGGACTAACCAGGCTAGATGCGTTTTGTTTCTTCAATTTAATTAAGTTAATCTCTTTTATACTTTTATTAAGAATATATCCGCTGACAAAAAAGTGTATATACAGTAAAAGGGAAAAATTAATTTTTACTTGGTCAAATTTTGATCGAAATTTACAGTTTGCTGTTAAATTTAAGCATTCACAATTCGATACTTTATAAATCTTTATCTTTTCCATTTTGAGTGAAATATCCTTACTTCTCCAGCTTAAAGTTGATTACCTACGATTTCTGTAAAAAAGCAGATTTATCTTCTGAGACGAAGAAGAATATTGTCCAAACCCGAAATGCGTCGAAAAATAATCGATGACTATAGATTGTAATATCTGAATGAATTTTTTTACATTAATTTGATTTTTCCGAGTCGTATATTGCAACTTTCTGAATTTGTTTGGACGCAGCGTTCTTCAGTATAAGTCGTATATAACAAATTTCTCCTTATAGACGCAACAGATAGAAGTAAGATTAGTAGCGATCAAAAGCGATTATTTTTCGCCTTAAGTATACCCCCTTTCATTTTTCGCGAACACTCCCTTTAAAGCAGAAAAATAAATATAAAGATAGAAAAACTAGGATATCATCCTCATAAAGTTTACAGGTTTTAATGGGCACCGTTGCTGCACTCTTTCTGGATCGTAACTTCAAATTCCGTTGATAGTCCCTTTTACTGTATTATTATGCATATTTAATTTTACCTACATAACCCATCACAAAATATTATTGTCCCCCCACGGTGGACTAAGCCAGTGGGGTCGGTCTAGGATTAGGCCGGGTACTGTAAAAAGTCTGAACGCGCCATGGGAGTTGTCATAGTAAGCCCTCCGACAGGACTATGGCAAGAAAATTGACCCCTGACGTATGTTAGTTTGGTTAAGGAGACGTACTGTACCATAGGATCGGGCCAGTACACGCTGTTATCTGGCAGGCCAGTATTACTTAGTATTACTATTATCCAGCATTTTACAAAGTTATTAAATCTCAAAATTTCAAAACCTAAGAGTAATAATTTGATTGCCTCTTTTCACAGTTGACTCAAAGTTAATGAAAATTTGTTGCAATGATCTTTTTAATTAACACATCACGACACTTAAAAGTAAGGCCTAGAATATTTAACCCTCCCCTCCCCATCTTTGGAATGTTTTATATTGACTATCTGTAATCTTTATACCCCCACTCCATCCTGTCTATAACACAGACTCCCCCCCCGCATTACAATTAGTAAGCAAAAAAATGTTTACATCATAACATTTAATATGTCTGGTTCAAAAAAGGATTTTTCAAATCTAGAGGGATGAACACTGGGCGTAAATCCTTTATTTTATCTTATCTCTACCTTCCTAACATTTTAATTGGTTGCCACTATTTAATCAGTTGATCAGTTGATCAGTTTATCAATTGATCAGTTGATCAGTTGATCATTTGATCAGTTGAATAGTGTTTTAGAATTGCACTATTTCGCACAAAATTTTTAACTTCAAAATAATTTAGTCCTAAAATGTTGTAAAAGTTTTAGCCCCATGAATACCTATTCAAGCGTTTAAAAATAAAATCTTGGGCAATAAAAAAATACTAAATTTACAGCAAGACTTATGTCTTTCATTACATTAAAATCATTTTGTGAATTGATTAATAGTCAACAGAAAAGTCATGTTTTTAATTTTACTTTGAGAGATTTAAAATGTGAACATGTCTCATTCACAACAGAACCTTTATATGGTCACTAAGTTCTATCCCTTTCCTAGCCTGAAATAGTTTAATTCTCACAAGTTCCACCATTGCTTCTGTAGCAGAAATCCACAAGTCCTTTAAAGAGAAATCCACAATTGGAAACAATCCTTTATTTAAAGCTTTGAAAGGTACTGTTGTGAATCGAACCACGGGCAGCCGTAGTACATTTGAATTTCCGAGCCGTGTCAACCTTTCCGGTCCCAGTTTGTACTCTATCGCCCGGACATTGGGTAAATAAAGCAGACACTCAATAGGACTAGCCGGTGCAACAAGGTTGACGCGGTCAGACTTTAGGTTTAATTTACTTTTAGAGGTCAGAGGAGCGTGGAACATGTCACTCTACAAAAAAAGGGATAATTACATGAACAGTCCCTTACAACGATTTTGCCCTGAAACCCTATGAATTAAAGATAGAATTACGGTCAGTAGAATTATCAATCCATCAGCCTAGAGGGGCAAGTCAAGGAACAATTAGACGTAAATATAGTTAATCGATCCTCTAAATACACTCGGGCCCCAAAAAAAACTTTAAATCAGATAAAAAATGTTGCAATAAAAATATGCTGTTTTTAGGGTCGCATAACCGAAAGCATTTCGATATTATGAACAGAATGTTATTGATATCTCACATCCTAAACTTCTGTTCGCAATTTCTATCAAAAATGTTTAAAGTTTTAATATTTCGCACAAAATGTTAGGGTTTTCTCTAAAGGTAAACGTTTTGTTAAAAATGTGAAAAATACAAGAAACAAATTACATATATAAGATTGAATAAAAATATATATAATAAAAAAAAATGTCATCGCATTTTTTTAAAGATCTTTAACACTTTTAATCTACATAATATAAACTCGATTTTTTTATTTATATATTTATTTATCTTATTCTTCTTTTTATGCAAAAACACATTTAATCTATATATTATAATCTTTTTCTTTTTATCTATCTTTTCTATTTATGTGTTCATCTATTTATCTTTCATATATTTAATCTATCATCAATGTGGCCATCTATATTCTATATATCTATTCATCTATTCGATCTATCATCAATTTATCTATTTATAAATATATATTTATAAATAATTATATATATATAAGATTGAAGATCTATATATATACATATCCGTATACAAGATTGAATAGCTACTTCATAAACCCCTAGGCTTCAACCTGCATTATTATCTGTTGTTAATGATTTGAAGGCGGGAGAACGGAAATTTAGGATTTTAAAATGCGTTATACTTTTTCAAGCATCAAATACAAATATGATAGTTAACATACATTTAATAGTTAATCTTATTCACAATCCCTACTTTTTAAAGTTTCAGGGCTTAACCTTTTTCACTTCCGTTGGGGCCCCCCCCCCCCCTCGGTATAAACTCCAACCTTTTTCTGGTTTACAGTTTGCATCACTAGAACATTAGAATATTGGGCAATGGCTAAGACTTGTTTTCTTTGGGCAGCATTCATTAATTTCTGCATTTATTCTACAATTACATACAGGGGGGGGGGTTGCTAAATCTTAGCTTTTCAGTTAAAATATCCACTAGTGTAGACTCCGGCTATATAATTTTATATAGAAAATGCAATATAATTCTGAGGAGGACTGTTGAAAGGACTGTTAAAATAATTTTAAGATAGCCTTTATCTAAAAAGGTGCATTACAGAATTCACAATGATACCCGTTAAACCTGGAGCAAAACTGACGATGTTATTCTTGTTTCTCTTTCTGAAAATTTATAAGTTTAAATTGAGGTTTCTCTGTAAAAGTGCGGATTCATACAGCAGAGACAAAAAAATGAGTTTAAAACTTTATTAGATAGTTAAACGAAATCCTGTTAAATTGATACTTTTCTATGATTTGTTGGAAAACTTTGGCCTCGTTAAATAGATAAAATAAATGATATGAGCATTTAAATCAATGTTATATTCGCGGGTTATTAGGCATTTTAATTCCTCCATTATCATTTTAATTCCTCCATTATCATTTTAATTCCTCCATTATCAATTTAATTCCTCCATTATCATTTTAATTCCTCCATTATCATTTTAATTCCTCCATTATCATTTTAATTCCTACATTATCATTTTAATTCAATATTTACAATTTTATTGTTTAAAGGGACTGCAAATTGTAAATTTAACTGACCCTGCATTTCAAAAACTTCAATGTTTCTGTAGCAAAAATACGTAGGTATTTTTTTAGAAGCCAAAAAAATTTATTTTCATAGGAAATGGATACTTCAACAGGATTCTTAGATCATATAAAGCTTTGAGGCCGCCATTGGTAATCAGAAAATACCACTTAATAAATAGAGGGTCACACATGTAATTACAGAATATTATTTCAATGTTAATAAACGCATTTTCTATTATATTTCTGTCATAAAATCCGTATTGACAAGTACTATACAATGCACACTTATTTTATGTTTATTGCGAGTAAACTTCACATGTTGGCTCAAGTTCAAAATTTTATAATTTACTAGATTACTTTTCACAAAATCTAAAATTTAGAACAGTTTCTGATATTTTTGATATTTTCATATTTTCCGCGTTCACAAAAGGTTGACAATTGTGATTCGGGGTTTTCTTTTTAATATTGTTGTTAGCTTGCCCTTTTCATTTCCTTCTCTTGTTTTACCATTATATTAATATACATAATACAGACATTTCATGTCCTTTTCTTGTTTTACCATTATATTAATATACATAATACAGCCATTTCATTTCCTTCTCTTGTTTTACCATTATATTAATATACAAAATACAGACATTTCATTTCCTTCTCTTGTTTTACCATTATATTAATATACATAATACAGACATTTCATTTCCTTCTCTTGTTTTACCATTATATTAATATACATAATACAGACATTTCATTTAACCCTTAGATAAAGATAGATTGCGCATAAGACGACATTTTTCATCTTGAAAGATATAAATATACAGAGATGTTTTAAAGATATTCCTATTATATAGATTAACTAGGTCGGCTGTGAACATTGGCTGTTCTCATGTCATTGAGTACTTGTGGTGAACATGAGTTCTGTAGAGAGAAATTTAAGTTAGTTTAGTCCTTCTCATGTCCTTCTTCAGCTCTCGTCAATATGATATATTGCTCAGTGAAATATTGTTGTTCAAATCCCGGAGTTATTTTACACTCTATTATGAAATCCATTAAAACACCAAACCATCCCGCTTATTATTGAAGTACACTTTGACCCCTAGAAGTATGAGTTTGCGGACTGTACAATTCTTGGTGATTTTGTGTGCATAAGCTATCTATGTTTATTTATTTATCTATGATTCAACCACTTTATATAAATAACAAGGCTGAAAGAAAACATTCAATTAAATCATGTGCAAAGGAACTGAGTATTTTCAATATACAAAAAAATAAATATCAGTTGAAACGCAACAATCTTCTTATAACATTTTATTCATAAACAAATTGTTTCATGCTTATTTCATGTTTATGTAATCATCAGTATGAATGGTTGGAGAATTTTTTACAGATGTTTCGCGGATTTTTACGAGATGTTAAATTAATTTTCAAATCAATGTTACATATAGATACATACAATAAAACAAACATGATGTTAAAAATACCATACTTTATCACACTACATACATACTAGAAGCATCTTGTTTTTATGTCGACATTTTGACATAATTTCATGTCTTTTATTCATTGATAATGTTCTATCTGTCAGGATGATAAGCGTTTTCTCAGTTAAGCAGAGTTGACATAAATATGTAGTTGATTATATTGTAGTTGAAATAAATATGTAGTTGATTACAATCGGTTATTCGTAAATGTATTTATTATGGTATGTATTTAAATTTAATTTTTTTTAAACGAATATTAAAAAAGGCAAATTTAAAAAGAAAAAATCGGAGAGCTGAATAACTGTAATTTTTAGATTTTAACGCTTTCTAGAAGAGTATCGTAAAAATAAAATTCGTTATTTTTATCCAAAAAATGTCATCGCATTTTTTTAAAGATCTTTAACACTTTTAATCTACATAATATAAACTCGATTTTTTTATTTATATATTTATTTATCTTATTCGTATATTAATCTAATTATGAATTGTAAATATATATTTTTTTCTATTTTAATAATTTATATCGATCTATTTATATATTTATACATTTATCTTTCATATATTTAATCTATCATCAATGTGGCCATCTATATTATCCCATATTTACACCAGTTCAATGTTAAAACACTAACATTTTTTGATTTATTGATTTATTTTGAAAATCTTTAAAGGAACTGCCAAAGTACCCTTTACAGTTTCATCTGATCAATAATGCTAAAGATATCGTCGTTTTCAAACTTGAAAAGTGTTCAGTTCTGATAATGTTCTCCAATATTTCTAAAGCAGAAATCAGCAAGGCACTATTTAAGAGAAATAACATTTACCAAATATGATTTTAAAGAGAACGAAGATGGAAATCTCATTCATGCTTGATCCGAAAAAGAGTACCGTTGTAAATCGAATATGTCAATCTGTAAATGGAGACGTCACCAGTCACTTTTTTAAAATGACGTCACCAGTCACTTGTAGCAACCCCCCCCCTTCCCCCTTATTTTAGATTTCCTTAAACTCGAAGCAAAATGTAGTCTAGACATTTTTAAAGCATTTTTACAACCAGTGTTATGTAGTTTGAACTAGACTCTAGACTGCTTTTTGTTAATTTTGCAAAGGTCTAAACGAGGAAATATGTCTTGAGATTTTAATCAAAACTTTAACCGATGTTTATTGAAATTATACATGCATTGAATTGATTGTAACTTGTCATGTTGGAATCTTTAAATGTAAAAATTTAAACTTGTCTTTTTAAAGAAAATCAGATCTTACAAAGGAATTGAGTTTTTGCCACACATCGAAATTTTCTAATCCTTATATCTTTCCAATCTAATGATGTAAACCTTTGATATTTCAAACTGAGATTAATTGATCTAATAAAATTCATAATTTGAAATATCACAGGTCTAAAACATTGGGTTGGAAAGATATATGGATTAGAAAATCAGAGTGTGTTGCAAAAACTCAATTCCATTGTGCTAAAACATAATTTTCTATTCCCTATGTATATGTATGTCTTCGTAACCAGATGTGGAAAATTTTTAATATCTCAAATTTTATTCAACAAAATTCGTTGATTAAAATACCAAAGGTTTCCTACAATAGACTGCGAAAATATAATGATTAGACTTTGTAAAGAGTAATCGGGTTCTCTGCAGTTTATGGGCGTTCAGAACTTTTATTATTTCGTCAAAATAAGTCTAGGAAATACTTACAGTGTAGACAACATGACGTTTTAATTAGAAATGAATTGAGCTAATTTTTAGGTTAAAGGAAATGGCTGCGAAAAATGAAAAAAGTTATTAATAAAAAAACCTCAGATAACTTATCTAAAGATAATTCCTATTCTCCTTTCTTCTCGAGGGTTCTTTAAAAAGAGTTTGATCCATGATGATGGTTCATACTGTACACTTTAAGCATTTATATGTCAACCGTTTTTACTATTTTAGAGTTTCACCTATTTGTATGGTTATAAAAATAAAGCACATTAGCTTTACTGGATCAAGATCTATAAAACCCCCCCCCCCCACATGAATATTAAGTACCCCCCAAATGTAGGGTAAAAATTACGGGTCCGTCTTAGAGAACGATTTTTGGACCCCCCTCTCCCCCTCTCCCCCTTCGATCAATATTGTATATTTACTTTTTATTATTGAGGGTTAGGTTAGGTTAAGACAATTTCTGGGCCGAGCGCTGCGGCTAGGATAGGCTAGGGGGCCGAGTGCTGCGGCTAGAAAGGGCTAGGGGCCGAGCGCCGCGGCTAGGACAGGCTAGGGAGCCGTGCGCTGCGGCCACATGATCAATTATACAAATCGTTCTCTAGGAAATTACCAAAACTATTATTTTGTTTACCTTTCTTAATGTTCTTTCGTCCGATGCGACTAACCGTAGTCCGAAAGGGACCAGGAAGGACGCTTTAGGAAACTGGTCCGGATTTTCCGCAGCTCGGACCACGTCCTGTCCCGCCCTATCCTGGACCCTGGTCCTCTCAGGACTAAAAAGGACTCGCTCCGTATGTTCTGCGGACCCATCAGCAGAGAACAACAAATCCGGGGCCTCAGTTGTAGATCGGGCCCATCTAAAAAAAAATAATGAAATCATGACGCCCTTTTCTTTCGTACTTCTTCAGGAACTCTCTTCCCGTGATTATACAATTCAAAGTTAGACTAAGTGAGAATTAGAAAACTCTAGAATAGAAAGACGACTTTTAGACTCAGGAAATAACTTTAAATAGTCCAATGTACATGTAATAAAGAAATTTTGCATTGTAAACATTTTACTTAATAAGTGAATTAAAAGTTACAAATAAAACTATTTGCTGGGTTATAGGGATATCAAACATACTTAAGTATTACTTCTATATCGTCTTCATATTCCACATTTTTCTGGTTCTCACTGTAGGTTTAGACAGATAGATAATTAAGGAAAATTTCTCTTTTTTTGGAGGAAAAAAAGGTGTGGTCTCTAATATTCTGTTTTTTTTTAACATAATATTAAAAAACAAAGAAATACTTAATATATCATTAGAACTGACGAGGGTCAACCCAGACCCAAATATATTTTCAATAAATGTGGAACTAACATCTACTTTTTTTACTCTATAGAGGTTTGGTCCATCACCATCACCGAATTTTAAAGGAATACTGGTAGAAATATTTTATAAAAAGTAAATTTTTGCAAAATAAAAAACGAATTAAATTGACTCGACATCTTCAATAATTAAAGGGAACCGTTGCAAATCGAGTAGTAGGCCTATTACAGTTACATTGACAGTCCCTTTAAAATTAAATAGAAGGTAAAAAATCATGATAAAAACAAAATGGATGATTTTTAATTTAATTTCTTATTTCCGGTTTCAATAAATGATTAAACATAAACAAATAAATAAACTTTATTATATCAATTAAATGTTATGGGAAATTCATGCACTGTATGGTTTCTTATTTATGGACAATAAAAAATTTGCAATTAAAAAAATAATAATAAACATATTTGATAAACGTTACAGTAGGACACTGATAATTGTGGAATAGGTAGACGACATTTTATTTAATAAATGATATGTGTATTTAACGTTATTGTAAAGCAAATAGTTTTTTTTAAATGTTAGCAATAAATAAATGGTGGACATGGCACCTTATCCTTTTAATGATATTCACCTTATTTCTTTAATAATATTCACCTTATTCCCTTAATAATATTCACCTTATTCATTTAATAATATTCACCTTATTCCTTTAATAATATTCACCTTATTCCTTTAATAATATTCACCTTATTTCTTTAATAATATTCACCTTATTTCTTTAATAATATTCACCTTATCCCTTTAATAATATTCACCTTATTCCTTTAATAATATTCACCTTATTCCTTTCATAATATTCACCTTATTTCTTTAATAATATTCACCTTATTCCTTTAATAATATTCACCTTATTCCTTTAATAATATTCACCTTATCCCTTTAATGATATTCACCTTATCCCTTTTATAATATTCACCCTATTCCTTTAATAATATTCACGTTATTCCTTTAGTAATATTCACCTTATCCCTTTAATAATATTCACCTTATTTTCTTGAATTCAAGGTTACTTCTCTCCTGTACTCTACTATCAGACAATCCCGAACCCATATCTAGACGATTTAATATTTACGCATTACGTATTGTTTCGCTTTATGCGTTTACGCATTTACATTTACACGAAGTTGGGGGTTTAATGCATAATACGCTTAAGATTCTGATAAAAATTTATGCGTATTGTGCTTTACGAGATACGCAAATGTATATACAAAGTCCGACGTATAGTGGTATGAGAAATTACGTGCAGTACGCAAATGTTTTTACGCATGAATAAACTTTAGAAATATAATTACAATTTTACATGAATATATGTTTTTGTAGGATACATACTAGCAGATATTAACAAAAACTATAAATTGTGTTTAATAATTTATCGTACAAATGTGTAATGCACAAGTAGAAGAAAAATATTAGACGGAATTAAGCAAAAAATGTTTGGCAAATTTTAGTAATGCAAAGAGCACAGAAAGGAAATATAAAAATTCTCTAAAAATGGAAAGGGGCATTTGATGTAGCATAATAAAACTTTTTGATAGGTTTTAAATCAAACAACCAAACAAACTAATTAAGGTAATAAACCAATGAACAAACACATAATGAAGAAGAAAAAGCAAGCACCAAAATAAACAATCAAACAAGCACCAAAATAAACAATCAAACAAGCATCAAACTAAACAACCAAACAAGCACAAAACTAAACTAACAAACAAGCACCAAATTAAACAACCAAACTAAGCAATTAGAAAAGAATCAAAATAAACAATCAAACAAGCATCAAAATACGCAATAAAACCAGCACCAAAATAAATAACCAAACAAGCACCAAACTAAACAACCAAACAAGCACCAAAATAAACAATCAAACAAGCACTAAACTAAACAACCAAACAAGCACCAAACTAAACAACCAAACAACCACCAAATTTAACAACCAAACAAGCACCAAACTAAACAACCAAACAAGAACCAAACTAAGCAATCAGAAAAGCACCACACTAAACCACCAAACAAGCATCAAAATACGCAACAAAAAAGCTTCAAACTAAACAACCAAACGAGCACCAAGCTAAACAGTTTAACAAGCACCAAACTCTACTAATAAACAAGCACCAAACTAAACTAACAAACAAGCACCAAACCTAATTACCAAACAAGAACCAAACTAAGCTATCAGAAAAGCACCAAACTAAACCACCAAACAAGCATCAAAATACGCAATAAAAAAAGCATCAAACTAAACAACCAAACGAGCACCAAACTAAACAGTTTAACAAGCACCAAACTCTACTAACAAACAAGCACCAAACTAAACTAACAAACAAGCACCAAACAAGCACCAAACTAAACCAACAAACAAGCGCCAAACTAAACAAACAAGCACCAAACTAAACAATCAAAAAAGCACCAAACTAAACAACCAAACAAGCACCAAACTAAACTAACAAACAAGCACCAAACTAAACAACCAAACTAAGCAATTAGAAAAGCACCAAAATAAACAATCAAACAAGCATCAAAATACGCAAAAAAAAAACAACAAAAAAAAAAAACAAAAAAACAAAAAACGAAACAACCAAACAAGCACCAAAATAAACAATCAAACAAGCATCAAACTAAACAACCAAACAAGCACCAAGAAGCTAAACAACCAAACAAGCACCAAACTTAACAACCAAACAAGCACCAAGCTTAACAACCAAACAAGCACCAAGAAGCTAAACAACCAAACAAGCACCAAACTTAACAGCCAAACAAGCACCAAACTAAACAACCAAACAAGAACCAAACTAAGCAATCAGAAAAGCACCAAACTAAAAACCCAAAACAAGCATCAAAATACGCAACAAAAAAGCATCAAACTAAACAACCAAACGAGCACCAAACTAAACAGTTTAACAAGCACCAAACTCTACTAACAAACAAGCACCAAACTTAACAACCAAACAAGAACCAAACTAAGCTATCAGAAAAGCACCAAACTAAATTACCAAACAAGCACCAAAATACGCAATAAAAAAAGCATCAAACTAAACAACCAAACGAGCACCAAACTAAACTGTTTAACAAGCAACAAACTCTACTAACAAACAAGCACGAAACTAAACTAACAAACAAGCTCCAAACTAAATCAACAAACAGGCACCAAACTAAACCAACAAACAAGCACCAAACTAAACAAACAAACAAGCACCAAACTAAACTAACAAACAAGCCCTAAACTAAAACAACAAACATGCACCAAACTAAACAAATGAACAAGCAACCGCCTAATTAACAATTAATAATTTCTAATACATTTAAATATAAAACTGTACCCATGAAACTGTACGCATGAAACACCCAAACATCAATCTAAATAAACAAATAATAGTCCAGGCAACCAAGCCGACGACCCAAACCCTCCATATTTGCATATTAACTTTGGTCAAAGGCAACAAATGTTATTGATGCCTTGAGTTGTATACAGAATATGCAGGATACCCACATTAGTATTCAACATACGACTTTATGTTTAGACATAAACATATGAACAAACATACAAATAAACACACAAACATACGTTTACATATGTATACATAAATACATACATACATTTATACATATGTAAAAATTAATTTAATATTGTATATTGATAACAAGTTTTTTTCGGCTTGTAAGTAAAATTAGAAAAACTTAAAATTGAAAACAAAATTTTAAATATTTTTAAAATTTTGATTAAAACTAATTTATCCGGTCAGATATTAGAAATTCAAAAAATTGCTGTTGTTCTCGAAAGCTCTTCGCTTGTAGTTATGATCGACTGAAAACTTTTTAGATTTCAATTTAAGTTTGATTTTCTTCCGTTTCTCGTAAGTTTGCAGGTTTTCAACTGATGCTAAAGTAATTATAATATGACTAGAACAAAATAAAGATTATTAGAAGTGAACACAGGGGGGGGGGGCAATAGTCCTCTAACCACCCACCCTTACCCGGTGTACACCCCTTAAAATTAATTAAATTTTGTGTTAAAAAAGAAACAATAAAATCTGCAGATAAATGCTGACCAAGAATAAGATTTATAAAATTCTGCTACTTTTAAATTTCCAGCCCAAGGTGTGGACAAATTAACCTTTTCTATCCGTTTACTCTGAAACCCGTTTCAATAATCTATTTTTTGAGAAAGAGACACACAAAGATCAACCTTGAATTTACCGGTTTTTAACCTGATTTGCGCGGAATTACGCTTTCTCCTAGCACATAGTTACGCACTAACGCAGCTTCTAAACAAACCTTTAGTTTTACGCAAATGTGTACGCATTGCAGGGCCGTCACGCATGAATTGACGCATTATTGGAAAATAAAGGCATTCATCAATAAAATTTGTTTTTATTAAACTATTGTTTTGTAACTTCTTTGTCTCTTTGATTATACAAGACCGCCTCTCTTCCCAATCTCCCCTCCCTCTACCCTTTTCAACCCCCCCCCCTAGCCATTCTTACCTAAATCAAGCTGAGCTGTTGCTGTTGATAACAAAGATGAGAAAAATAACATTTTAGTAAAATTGGAAAAAAATTTATTCCGGTAACATTTGTTCAATTTTTGTTGGAGAAGGGACGACTTATTTTTATCACTTTTAAATCGTCCCAGGGCTCCCGGTCGTCCAGGTGGTCGCCAGGACGAATTATGCACAGACAGTCGGACGACTGTCTGATGCGGATTTAAATCCATTTTTATCTTCTCTTTTTGTTCTTTCTTTCTCCTCCCTTCTTTCTCATCATTGCTGAAACAGAATAATATAAACTAATTATGTTTTAAAAAGTTTTATAAGAAAAGCAAAAAGAAAAAATATCCAATTCCAAATTCTTTGCAACCGCATGGTGTAAATTTAAAAAGTTGGCTATATGATATAGCAGATTTCACAACAAGTTTCAAAGATATTAGGATTAGAAAGTTAGATAATGTCAATCTCTTCCTTTGCCATTTTCTTGGAAATAAATCAATCAATAATCATTTAATTGGTTGTTATATCATCAAATATCTTCATGTTTTCATTATTAATTAATTTATATTCATTATACGGTCGTTATCGTAAACATCAATACAAGGAAAATAACTTTCGATTTCAGTTTTGGTATCTACAAATCTTTCAAACAGCATGCAACGATACAAATACATGGAAACAAAGAGAAGCTGCCAATTTAAAGTTTCTATATTAATCTAAAAAAAGCTTGTTAGAAATCAAAACTTAAATCTAAAAGTCGTCTTGATTGTATTGATATAAATGCTGACAATTGTATGATATTTAATAGACTAACCAATGAAAGGGGAAATAAGTAAGGAAGCCAAAAAGGCACTCAGAGCAGCTTTAAACAGGGGGGATGATAGTTCTCCACCTGTGTGCTCAGTTAGCTGTACTGTACACTTACAACTGTTTACTTATATTGATAAACTATAGATTAGGCCAGAATCAACTTATGATAAACAAATATGCAGTACGCTCTCGGTATAGTTTTTCGCCATAGGGAATAGAATATATAGAGAGGAATTAAACGAATCTCTCGGTATGAATTTCTTCAGTCCCTTTCAGCCTGAAAGGGAGTGAAGAAAGTGTACAAATCATGTAAATGTTCACAAATTGTATGCAGTAGAGTACATTAATACAGTATGTTCCCTAGACTATCCATTTCAATTTCGAATTTTTTAAACTGTTAAATAAACTTTATAATGAATTAGGTGAATAAAAACATCATTTGATTTATAGTTATAACGGAAAATCATCGTTTGTAAAGTGGAAGGCATAGAGTCTATGTGAAATGATCATTGGTCAATTATGAAACCAGCCTATTTCATAATTTGGTTTTCTTTTAACAATAATTTTAGATTTTCTATATAATGATATTCCAAGGTTATATAGCATAAATATGTGAAGTACACCTGCAGTATGGAAACAGTACAACAAAATGGCCGTTTTACACTTTTTTCCAATAAATTCCTCTCTATATATTCTATTCTCTATGTTTATGGCCTATAAAATTAGTAAAGGATTAGCGTACATCATCACTCTATACACTATAACCTCGTTGATTAGCGTACATCATCACTCTATACACTATAAACTCGTTGATTAGCGTACATCATCACTTTATACACTATAAACTCGTTGATTAGCGTACATCATCACTCTATACACTATAACCTCGATGGCTTTAAGGGTACACAAGTGACCATATTTTCAAATTACTATACAAAATCTTGAATTCTATATTTGTAATAATTGAAATTGAATTCAGATGAAACACTTTAGCACTGGAATCCCAAAACCCTTGAGCCGTTTAACAATATATAATTTAACAATATATAATTTGTCGACCAAATGTTTCAACTCTCAGCTGCAGTAGTGTAACTATATACATTATACAGTGTGTCCATCTAAAAATGGCATTTCAAATAATAGATATGCATGAATATAACTGTTTTTAAATTGGAAGAATATTTATATCTATATCTATATATAAGGTTGTAAACTCTGTATGTCCGATCATAACTCAGAAACCCCTTGACTAATTTGCCTCAAATGAATGGGGAACTCGGGAAAACAACGAGAATGTTCTTAGCATGGTTTTGAGATTCTGAGTAGAGTTGGTCGACTTTTATTTCGAAAGTTTTGTTTCCTGGTAAAATCGATCAAGTGCGGGTAAACGGCGGGAGTAACTATGAGTATTGAGTAATCTGGTCAACGCTGGATTCCCAAGCTATTATACATAAAGTAGTAATCTCTGTTTGTCTGTCTTCGTGTTTGTGTGTGTGTCTGATGATAAATCAGGAACCTCTGGGCCTATTGATCTTAAATTTTGATTGGGGAACTCAGTATAGTCAGTTTGTTTACTGTTTTGAAGGATTTTAACTTTATTTTTCAATAAATCGTCTTTAAATTGTCAATTGTTTGTTTGGACAATGTCTCGACGGGTTTCCAAGCAAAGTGGATTTTACTTGCGCGCAGTTGCGAGCCTTGTAAACTCCGCGCAATTCAGTGCAATTCCGCACAATACAGCGTAATTTGAGGACATTTGCGCGCAATTCCTCACAACTGAATTCCGATTGGAAACCCTAGTTGGACACACTGTATCTGTTGTTCGAAATGTTGAGATGGATTTCAAGAAATCTAATTAGTTTTGTAACCTTGCCGTCATCATGTGTTGTTTTCATCAAGTAAAACAGGGGGACAGGGGTGGGAGTGTTGAAGTAAAGGGGTGGCACTGTGGGGTATTAGTGAGAAGGGCAGGGGGTAATTAATTGGACAGTTTATGACAAAGAAAAATCGAAATCAAAAACTTTCAACTAGAACAATATTTAACTTTCCAATTAAAGAGATGATTTGAAAAAATTTTGTTTTATGGACTGTAAATAATGCAGTAAATACTGTACACTTTAAAAAAGTACCCGATCAGAATTTAAAAATTTACAACAAAAGAATGTTTTTGAAAATCTTAGACAGGCAATTACCTGCAATAATGTTATTGATATTGGTACGAAATGTACTCTGATGGCAGACAAACGGCTTAGTTTATATCCAACGAAAAAGGGCGAAACGCGCCCCGTGAAATTGTTATTATAAAGAACGTTAGCCAATTTTATGAGATTGGTTTATGAAAAATTGTCAAGGTACATTTGCTTAGTGTTTGATATGCAGAACTCAAATTTCTTATTTATTTTCTAAATTTTCAAGAAAACTAAATAGATTTCCAAAATTGATTACATTATATTGCATATTTATTGAGACATCTTGTATGTTTTATGATTTTCAATCCTGGGAGTCCTGGGAGACACTAGAATGTATAACATGTTTAGTGCTACACCCTGTATAGTTTCTGCAAATATTATGTCTTGAAGGTAGTGGGTATAAGGCATCATAATCATGCTTACTGGTGTCAGGGGATCAAATCATAGACAAACTAGTAAAATGTACTGGTGTCAGGGGATGAGATCATAGACAAACTAATAAAATGTACTGGTGTCAGGGGATCAACTCATAGACAAACTAGTAATATGTACTGGTGTCAGGGGATAAAATCATAGACAAACTACAGTGAAACCCTTAATAACGAATACATCGAATGAATTTATCAAATGTCGTCTTGACAATTTTTCAATGAGTTTTATACTATATTACGTAAATTTCAGTATTTGCGAAAATAGATAAATAGCCATGAATATGCGGGAACAGTTTTAAAGAGTTCCATATAATCATTTAATTCAAAAACTAAATATCTGCAACATTCCATTATCAGAAAGTGAAGAATTAGACATTTCATGAATTCTTTTGATGTATTCGTTATTAAGGGTTTCACTGTAGTAAAATGTACTGGAGTCAGGAGATCAACTCATAGACAAACTAGTAAAATGTACTGGTGTCAGAGGATCAAATCATAGACAAACTAGTAAAATGTACTGGTGTCAGGGGATCAAATCATAGACAAACTAGTAAAATGTACTGGAGTCAGGAGATCAAATCATAGATAAATTAGTAAAATGTACTGGTGTCAGGGGATCAAATCATAGACAAACTAGTAAAATGTACTGGAGTCAGGGGATCAAATCATAGATAAACTAGTAAAATATACTGGTGTCAGAGGGGATCAAATCATAGACAAACTAGTAAAATGTACTGGTGTCAGGGGATCAAATCATAGACCAACTAGTATAATGTTGTTGTCGCAAAGGAACAAGATTCTGACGATGAACAAATAGACAAGGAATAACCCTCAAATCAAAATCGATAATGCAGAAAACTCTTTATTTCCTAAAAAAAATTAAATGAATAATGATAAATAATTATTACAAGGGTTTACAAATTTATAATGAAAAGATTCTTACGATCTATTTGCCTATTTGTGGGTTAACTGTCGAAAAGTCCTAAGACGCTTTTTTATACATTAAAACTTCTGAAAAGAGTAACAATTAAATGTTGAGGAAGGTCACTAATTCTTTATATTAAAATATTCTTGCTTAACTTTGAAGTGGTTCACAATTAATAAACGTTTATACTCCGTTGTCGGAGAACAAAGAAGAAAAGCGGGCTGAAATTGTTTGGTTTGGTTTCTCGTCTCCGAGAGGAGCTTTTAGGTTGAAGACGACATTACATGGAGGGGGGGGTCTTATTGTTAATCGTTGACAAATGTACTGATGTCAGGGGATCAAATCATAGATAAACTAGTAAAATGTACTGGTGGCAGAGGGGATCAAATCATAGACAAACTAGTAAAATGTACTGGTGTCAGGGGATCAGATCATAGACCAACTAGTAAAATGACGAAGTAATTTCAATCTGGCGAAAACATATAAAAAAGAGACAAAATTCTGCTCTAACTGGTTCTAGATTTTTTCCCCCGAAATTATTTACCACGACCCCTCCCTCCCCCACCCTCTGAATCCCATGTTTGATGTCCATCTAAGACTAATGATACATCATTGGAAAGCTCTTATGCTCTACTTTTAGAATCTGCTAAAAATTGCAAATTTGCAAAAATTGTATTTTTTTGCAAAATCCAGTTGTAAGGTAAAAATATTTGCAAAAAAATGTCCAAAAAATGATTAATATACTTATTTTTGAAAAAACTAAAATTGTGCAAATTTCTTTTGACGGATTGTATGCAAATAATTTCCAAGCATTTGTTTGCAAAACTTGTGCTATTCGTTTTCTTATATCATATGCTTTCCAGAAAGCTAAAAATTATTAAAATCTAAAAACTGAAAGTGGGTCAAACTTAATTTTTGGTTTGT